GATACACTGGATAAAATTGAAGCAAGGAGGAACAAGAAGGCAGCAATCAATATCAGCCGAACCAGAGCGGAAAAAGACAAGGCACAAGCCGAATACACAGAGGCAAGCAAACAAGTGAAGAGGAGCATCAGAACTGACAAACGTAAATATGTGGAAGATTTAGAGATAACAGCGGAAAAGGCTGCAAGAGAGGGAAACATGAGACAACTGTATGATACAACAAAGAAGCTTGCTGGAAATTACCGTAAGCAAGAAAGACCAGTGAAAAACAAGGAAGGCAAAGTAATCACCGACATGGAAGAACAACGAAACAGGTGGGTAGAACACTTCAAGGAACTCTTGAATCGACCAGCTCCACTGAACCCACCCAACATCGAAGCAGCACACACAGACCTCCCAATCGATGTTGGCCCACCAACAATTGAAGAGATCAGCATGGCCATTAGACAAATCAAGAGTGGCAAAGCAGCGGGACCAGACAACATCCCGGCAGAGGCACTGAAAGCAAATGTAACAGCAACTGCCAAGATACTCCACATCCTCTTCAGTAAGATTTGCGATGAAGAACATGTACCAACAGACTGGAAAGAAGGACTTCTCATCAAGATACCAAAGAAAGGCGATCTGACCAAGTGCGACAACTACAGGGGCATCACTCTCCTCGCAATACCAGGAAAAGTCTTCAACAGAGTATTGTTAAACAGGATGAAGGATTCCGTGGACGCTCAACTTCGAGATCAACAAGCTGGATTTCGTAAGGATAGATCGTGCACAGATCAAATCGCAACTCTACGTATCATTGTGGAACAATCGATCGAATGGAATTCATCACTGTACATCAACTTCATCGACTACGAGAAGGCATTTGATAGTGTGGACAGGACGACACTATGGAGGCTTCTTCGACACTACGGCGTGCCTGAGAAGATAGTCATACGGAACTCCTATGATGGACTAAACTGCCAGATTGTCCACGGAGGACAAGTCACCGAATTGTTTGAAGTAAAGACAGGTGTTAGGCAAGTTTGCTTACTCTCACCCTTTCTCTTTCTCCTGGTGATCGACTGGATTATGAAGACGTCAACATCTGGAGGATTGCACGGGATACAGTGGACAGGCAGGATGCAGCTTGACGATTTAGACTTCGCGGATGATCTGGCTCTTCTATCACAAACGCAACAACAAATGCACGAGAAAACGACCAGTGTAGCAGCAGCCTCAGCAGCAGTAGGTCTCAATATAAACAAAGAGAAAAGCAAGACTCTCCGATACAATACAATATGCACCAATCAAATTACACTTGACGGAGAAGCTTTGGAAGATGTGGAAACCATTACATATCTGGGCGGCATCATTGATGAACACGGTGGATCAGATGCAGATGTGAGGGCGCGGATCGGCAAAGCAAGAGCAGCATACCTACAGCTGAAAAACATCTGGAGCTCAAAACAATTGTCAACCAACACCAAGGTTAGAATTTTCAATACAAATGTCAAGACAGTTCTTCTGTATGGGGCAGAGACGTGGAGAACTACGAAAGCCATTATCCAGAAGATACAAGTGTTTATTAACAGCTGTCTACGCAAGATACTTCGGATCCGATGGCCAGACACTATCAGCAACAAGTTACTGTGGGAGACAACAAACCAGATTCCAGCGGAGGAAGAAGCGCTGGGAGTGGATTGGGCACACTTTGAGGAAATCACCTAATTGTGTCACAAGACAAGCCCTCACATGGAATCCTGAAGGTTGAAGGAGAAGAGGAAGACCAAAGAACACATTACGCCGAGAAATAGAGACAGACATGAGAAGAATGAACTAAAACTGGAAAGAACTAGAAAAGAAGACCCATGACAGAGTGGATTGGAGAAAGCTGGTCGGTGGCCTATGCTCCATTGGGAGTAACAGGCGTAAGTAAGTAAGTAACTGAATGTCAATGCACATATATATGCAGATGTTCACTTTTGCCATTTTCTTTTACATGGAACACAACAGATAAATATTATTTATTTATTTTTGGGCTTCAATTGAACATTGAAAGAAATAAAACTTGAATTGCATCTAACTGTATTCTTTCTTAATAATTTGAACGAATTAACATTATTTTGCTATTTTACATACATCTAATTTGTAGGTGTTTTACTTAAACAATAATAAGGGTAAAACTTTGAAATATTTGATTGCTTCAGAAAACAAATCAGTCGACAAACAGCTTAATGATTTCACTTTTTTTGCTTAATTACCAATAAGTAATGTATGTGATAAAAAAAGTCTTCGTTGTTTGAATTGAGTTTTTATCGTGGTTCGTATATACCGACACGCTTTGTAGTTTCTACGTTATTACGCACTACTAATGTATATAGTTGTTGAAAAGAATAAAACCTCATAGACTAATGGCGAAATGAAATAGACTAGACAAATGAGTTTAAGAACGATGAAGTTCTAGTGTTTTTCTTGTTTCTAACCCATTTCCTTTCTTGAAACATTACAATTTGGCTGTACTTTTCTTGATTTAAACTTTTGGCCATTGTATGCTCCTTCGGCTCAATGGGACCCAACTATGGAAATTCGTGTATTCTTCATTCCAAGTAGGCTTTCTTCGTATAGATTTCTGTAAAAAACCATCAGGCATTCTTTTTAAACGTGCATCAAGAATATGAAATTCATGGTTTGCCTCTGCTTCTAAGGTAAATTGAATTGACGGGTGACAATTATTGAAAATATTCAAGATTTCATTGAGGTCCATGTCTTCACAAACAATAAAAGTATCATCCATATATCTCCTATATAAATGAAATCTCGCAACTATTGGTCAAAGTACCGAATTTTCTAGATTGGCCATGAAACAATCAGTCAAGAGAGGACTCAATGGCGAGCCCATTGCAACCCCATCTGTTTGTCTATAGAAAACATCATTAAATCTAAATTGCACGTTGAGCGTACGTCGTAGAAGTAGTTCTTTAAGATAATGTTTTGGGATACATATATCAAGACTATTGTTTTCAATATAGTCACATAAAAAAGCAAATCGTCTCTGTGAGAGGAACATTTGTCAAAAGAGAAGTGACATCTAATGAGAACATTTTCTTACCGATTACGTTGATATTTTTAATTGAGTCGACAAATTCAAAGGAATCAGGAGAATTTTATTTATTAATATGATTTTTAACAGGTTGTAAAATGTCAACTAACCATTTAGCAATCAAGTGATAGGGAGAGTTGTTCATACTAAGTGTAGGACATTATTCTAATGAACTTTTGGGAGTCCATATAGTCTTGGTAGTCCCGATGGTTTGAGATGTTCATAGAGGTCACAATTGAGAATAAACTCACCTTTCATCTTCCTTAGGATTTTAATTAGCATCTGTTCCGTTTTACAGCTTAGTTATTTTGAACGGTTTTTTAGATAATTTGACCGGTTCAGATATGATCGAAGATATTTTGGAGATATAGTTAAGGTGATCCATAAGTACAATTCCTGCACCCTTGTCTGGGCGACATAACACTAAGTCCTGATTACTCCGAAGATCATATAACAGATTTATGTTTTTTTGTGAATAATCGACTAACTAGGTATTTTACCTACATATTGATTACAGCAATCTGCAAGAGTTGTTTTGAAGTGCTCATAATCTTTATTAGATACTGGAATAAGGTCATTTGTCTGTCGAATGAGGCTTTCAAACGGGATATTAGCGTTCAGTTCATTAATGTTAGCAGACATACTACAAAATTTAGGACCAAGGGATAAAGCTTGTAGCTGAATAATCGATGATGCTATGCTTAAGTAATTGAAAACATATTTCTCTAGAGATTCAGGAAAAGAATTTTATATCTCGGTCTTTTGATTCCTTTGAATTTTACAACTCAGAAATATCAACGTAATTGGTAAGGAAATGTTCTCATTAGATGTCACTTCTCTTTTGACAAATGTTCCTCTCACGATTTATTTTTTATGTGACTACATTGAAAACAATAATCTTGATATATGTATCCCAAAACATTATCTTAAAGAACTACTTCTACGAATGTACAGCTTAAGTAAATGGTTTCATTGGAAAGAAAATTTTTCTTCGCTGAATTCTCTTTTCGTATTATTTAATGATATTATGAGTCATTTTAATAAGCATTAGTTATTTATAGAAGAATATATAATACTACACTCATTCTATTTACTACTTATCAAATAGTGAGAAAAAGTGAAAGATAGAGATTATTCTTTTTTAGAAAAAAGTGAATAAACTTTATTGTTGTTATCATAGAAATAACTTACATCAACCTACATCAATCAATTAATGAATGTCATTATATATAGGTATAAATATTGAGTTTTAGTAACTAATAGCTGACAGAACATTTAGTGTATATATTTTTCTCAACATTCTCAATAGAAATAGTTGATTAGGAAAATCTCGTGATTTATGACATTTTTCAAGTGGTATTAAGTGATGTTAACAAATGATAAACGTTTATAGAATACTGATTTTCTGTATGATTTATAGTAATCATATGCTTTTTATGTGTTATAATTCAAAAAATTTGAGAAAAATTCTGTATCTCAACGTTCTATCAGTATTCATTACTCATTAATATATTAAAAGGATTTCACATGATTTAATTCTAGTACCTAAAAAAAATAATACCTCAAAAATTAATCAAATGTTTAAACAAGCTTGTGATCTCGTTGTTTACTTAATAAGAGAACTTGAATAACAAGAAATGGTACAAAGAAACTGTTCAGGCATATGTCCGAGTAAAAGTTAGAACAAGTTGTTATTACAAACTGGATGAATAAAATACACAGGGAAGTGTAATTTTTCACATACAAGTCAATGATAATTACAAAACAGAAATTACAATAAATAAAACGTTAAAAAAATCAAAAATATTCATATTTCTGTATAAATAATACAAATAAATGAGCTCAGATAAATAAGAAACAAAGCGCAGAATATACTCATACATAAAACGACATAAAAGGATAAGACTACAAAAAAATTTCATTGTTTCGGCTTCTTTTCAAAATATTTAAAATCCTAAAAAATAAAAAAATTTAAAATGTAGCAATCAGTTAAATCTATATTCAAAGAAATTTTCATGCGCATATATTAAAACCTGCGCATAAATACCGTCTCGCAGTGAACACAATATAATATCAGCATCAAAACAGAAAGTCTACTATTAATATAACAAGTTAGTTCAGATGGTAACGGGTTAAAATTTAAATATATGTAAGAAGAGAGCGAGTCCAAACGATAAACAAATAAACTATGAATAAGTAGTAAAATAATCGATACAAAACTTAATGTAACTTAGTACTCAAATAACTATCATGTATTTGCTCTTAAGTAAACTAAATACAAAACCAAGTCGAGCAAACTGAAGTAAACAGAGTTAGGTCTAAATCTAAAAAACAATGATAAATATGCTACTGATGTATGTATAAAACAGAAACAGACTACTAAATCCGAGGCCAATTTATTAATATATGTTGCAGAATTATAGTCATAATAAAATAAAACATTCTCAACGTTCTTCGATTATCCTATTAATATTAAACTTAAATTTAAACCTAAAAAGTAGTTTATGATATTCGGAATAAATCATAACCATGTTTAGTGAAAGTAGTGTAACTTACAATGAGAAAAACAGCAGCTAGGAGAACCGCTTTCATTTTCACGTCTAAGTCCATCGGGAAAGAAACTCCAAAATTATCTGCATCAGTAAATAGTTCTTGGATAATATTGCTCCATTTTCTGGTAATTCTACCTATTTCTATAGTACCGTCAGCAGAAGTTACCTTGAAAAGATTATTTAAGAGATATTAAACATTGATTAACCGGATCAATTCTAAAATTCACACGTAACAAGGATCATAAACAATCATTAAGTTAAATGAGTTAGATGAATTTCACAATGGATCTCTTTATAGATCAGTCAGTCGCTATCAACATAAAGCCTGGTAAAGGTGTGTGGACACAAGTAACCATATCACATTAGCATAGCAAGATGAAATTGAAAAGATGTATAGGAAAAGAGAAAAACAATATAGTTGCAATGAGGATGAATATAACGAAGCATTGAGAATAGCGTTTGAAAGGGTAGAATGGAAAGACATTTATGAAGAAATACTGGGAAGAGTAAATATGTCGATTCTATTGTGAGAAATTCCCAGTCATATCGCTCAAACCACATATCACAAGTATCACGAGGACCTCAATCAGGTAGTTAACGTCTACAATCACTAAAGTAAACGAAAATGAACGGAAGTTTGAAATGTAGCGACGATAAGATAAAAGTTCGCAAAGAATCCACAATAGTCATAATAATGAAACGTAAGTGTATTCCAACTGTTCATCGAAGGTAACATTTTTCATTTATGGAGATGAGGCAGTAAAGCAAAATCTATGATTATTACACTGACAGGAAAATGTAAAACTTTTGCAATTATCTGGCGGTTAACAAAAAGCATTGAAACATACCGCATATTCTCTAATGACTGATTTCAGTACACAGTAAAGAAATCCGAATTACAAATTTTCATCACCTCACAACAGATCTTTCTATACTAATCTAAATTTTTTAACAAAGCTTAATTTCCTTCCTAAGATCTTACAGAACAAACCTACCGATTAGTAGATTTTAGATTCACACAAACAATTATATCCACTATAAACGACATACGTAGTCTAAAAGAGCAAGGATACAATAGAAAACTAGACGAAATGGATTATCATTGATTTCAACAAGCATAATGAACAGCATTATACAAAGTGAAAAATAAAGTTTATTTTAACAATATTTATCGTCAACAGAAACAATAATTAAGATATCAATAAGAAATGTATACCTTGAATACTATATCCGATCCTAAACATTCACAAAAACAACATGATGGACCATGTATTTGCAGAACTGTACGCTGGTTACCATCCAAAATGTGGTAATCAAGATTACAACCACTAAATACTCGTTTCACATAGCCGATACAATTGCCAACTGGAGACTGAACTTCAAGTTCTTCTTGACAGCATTCTAAACACCTAAACCAAATCAATTAACACATCAATTAACTTTTGCGAAACGAGACAATCCAATCTCACAAATCACATTAGGAAATCATGTTATGGTAACAAACGTAATCAATCCCTGATGAAAGTAGTTTCACTAATGATGGGTTTGTTCGTAGTCAACAATGTTCTCGACTATATTTTTACATCACAAACCAAACTGTGTACTCATAGTTAGTTGAGCAGCGGTTGGTGATACTACAGTACTCGATAGAATCAAAAGAGACCAAAACAACAGGCAAATTCGGGAGTAAATATAACTGGCGAATGACTGTTTCCCCTGTTCTACTGGTTACAGGATAGAGGTAACTAACCCGTAGAAGAATATACCAAAAACAAACTAAAACCAGCTAAGGATTAATAGCACCACCACATTTTCAATAATATACATCATTCCCCTAACCATCTTTTCACCATGCTACTGTTATTTCTCAACACCCTTCAAACTGAGCAAGGTGATGTCCTTACGTGAATTGAAATAGGCAAGACAATCACTTACATTGATGTGCAATTTTATCTTGAACCAAAGCACGAATGGGAAAAGTCCATAATGCGCCATCGCATTATTTATGACGACCCCAAATCTCATACAAAAATATTGGTTTCATAAGTTGGTTCTGCGACCAGGGTAAAAATTGAACACAGCGTTCAAGTAAGCATTCATCGTTGTTAACGTCCGATATCACTAGCTGAAAGCCCAGATTCTTTGGATGTTACCACACTGATGTCACTTCTAACAACCAGAGCAACAATTAACATGAGGAAATGCGATGTCCGGATAATGTGAGAAACTGGTTGGACCACTCAAAAAGCTACGGAAATGAGCAGATACAACTTGGTGATGCTCGGAATTAGTGAAAATTAATAAAGCCAGGATTGATAGAAAAGATTATCTTTGGTAGAGACACTGTTGTACTCTGATCAGGAAGACAATTACGCTTCGCACACTCAATGAGTTGCTCTGAAGCTACCCGAAGAAGCACGTGAAGCACTTATAGGATGGGAATCTCATGGTTCCAGAATTATCAAAGCATCATTCAAAACAAACAAACAGGGAACCACGATGAATGTTATCCAATATTATGCATCTACCAATGAGAACAACGACAACAAAAGAGATCAGTTTTATTGGAGGCTGCAATCAATCATAGCTAAGTGCTCAAAAAAGGACCTCGCCATCTTGATGGGCGATCTAAACGCTAAAACCGGAGTGGACAACACAGCAGATGAAGATATTATGGAACGACATGAACTGGGAGAGAGAGAAACGAAAATGGTGACAGATTCGCAAATCTATGTGCATTCAACAAATTGGTTATAGGCGACACAATATTCCCACACAAACACATACATAAAGCTACATAGATCTCACCTGACCACACCACAGAGAACCAAATAGATCATATCTGCATCAATAAAATGTTCAGAAGGACAATGGAAGACGTGGGAAGCAGGAGAGCAGCTGACATAGCTTCAGATCACCACCTGGTGGTTACCAAGATGAAACTGAGGCTAATTAAGTACTGGACAACTGGAGAAACAGCATTACAAAGTTTCAATACACACTTCCTTCGAGATACCGACAAACTCAACCAATTCAAGATAACTCTCAACAACAGATTCCACGCTTTACAAGATCTACTCACAGAACAGGAAGCTACTATGGTGAACAACTGGAAAGGGATCAAAGAAGCACTAGCTCCAGCATGCCACGAGGAGCTGGGCTTCTAGAAGCGTCATCATAAGGAATGGATCTCCATTAAAAGCCTGCGTGAGATTCAATAAAGGAACAACAAGAAGTCAACAAGGGGCAGCAGTTGAACAACAGCAGAGAAAACAAAGCTACGGCTCGAATACACAGAAGCAAACAAGCATGTGAAGAGGAGCATTAAGGCCGACAAGCAGATATATGTGGAAGATCTAGCAGCGATAGTGGAAAATGCTGTAACAGAAGGAAATCTCTGACAACCATATGACACAACGATCAAAAAACTGAAAGGAAAATATAGTAAACCAGAGAGACCGGTAAACGACAAAGAAGGAAAGACAATCACTGAGATTCAAGAACAGAGGAACAGATGGGCAGAATACTTCGAGGAACTGCTCAATAGACCAGCCCCATCTAATCCACTGCACATCGAAACAGCACACACAAACCTTCCTATAGACGTCACTCCACCAACCATCGAAGAAATCAAGATGGCCATCAGACAAACCAAGAATGGGAAAGCAGCAGCGCCTGACAATATACCAGCTGAAGCACTGAAGTCAGACATTGAAGTAACTGCTCACATGCTCCACCTTCTATTCAAGAAGATTTGGGAAGAGAAACAAGTGCAGACGACAGACTGGAAAGAACGACACCTCATCAGGATATCCAAAAAAGGAGATCTGAGCAAATGTGGGAACCACAGAAGCACCACGCTAATGTCAGTACCACGAAAAGTTTTCATCAAAGTATTGCTGGACCGGACGCAAGACTCAGTAGACGCCCAAATTCGAGATCAACAAGCTGGATTCCGTAAGGATCGATTGTGCATAGAACAAATCACGACACCACGGATCATCGTTGAGCAACCAATTGAATGGAACTCGTCACCACACATCAACTTCATTGACTTTGAGAAGGCGTTTGACAGTGTGGATAGGAGAACATTATGGAAACTTCTTCAACACTATGGTGTGCCTGAGAAAATCGTAGACATCACACGTAATTCATACGACGGACTACAGTGCAAAGTGGTCCATGGAGAACAGCTGACAGACACATTTTATCTGAGGACAGGAGTCAGACAACGCTGTTTACTCTACCTTTCTCTTTCTTCTGGTGGCTGACTGAATTATGAACACCTCCACGTCTGACAGGAAGCACGGAATACAATAAACAGGTTGGATGCAAACAGACGATTCGGACTTGTAAGATAATTTAGCTCTTCTATCCCATACACACTAAACAATGCAGATAAAGACAACCAGCATAGCAGCAACCTCTGCATCAGTAGGTGTCAACATACACAAGAGAAAAAGCAAGATCCTCAAATACAACACAGAGAACACCAACTCAATCTCACGTGACGGAGAAGCTCTGAATGATGTAAAATCTTTCACGTACCTGGACAGCATCATCGATGAAAAAGGATGATCTGATGCAGACGTTAAGGTGAGGATTTAGAAAGCAAGGACCTCATTCTCACAGTTGAACAAATTATGACACTCAAGACAACTATCAACCAATATCAAAGCTGAATCTTCAATACGAACATCAAGACAGTCCTAATGTATGGATCTGAAACGGGGAGAACTACCAAAACCATCAGCAAAAAAGTACAAGTATTTACAAACAGTTGTCTACGCAAAATACTCAACATTCAATGGCCGGATACCATCAGCAACAGCATTTTGTGGGAGATAACAAACCAGCTTCCAGTTGAGGAGGTAATTAGGAAAAGACGTTGGAAGTGAATAGGACATACATCGAGGAAATCACCAAATTGCATCACGAGGCAAGCTCTAACTTGAAATCCGGAAGGGAAGCGGAATAGATGAAGGCCGAAGAACACATTACACCGAGAAATAGAAGCAGATATGAAAAGATGAATAACAACTGGAGAGGATTGACCAGGACAGGGTCGGATGGCGAATACTGGTGGGCGGCATATGCTCCTCCACCAGGAGTAACAGGCGTAAGTAAGTAAGATGCAGAATCAAAATAACTCAATGAAAAAATAGGTAGCAAAAATTAGGATATGTTCGTCACGTGCACTAAATCTGTGGTCCCAAAGGATTTACTGATATAATTGTGAATAGATTGGTTACTTTCACAAATGCATATCAAACTGAATAAACTGATATTCGATTAGCGTCAAACCCCTTCGATAAACCACTGGTATCATGATATAATGGGAACAAAGATGACAGAGATTAAGAATAATCAAAGTCAGTTAGGAATAAAGCATTTTAACAAGCCAGGTTTGTAAGTGTTCAGGATATTATAATACATACTTCACCACCGAATGTGAGTTGAAATGAATACAAGAAGAAATGAACAAAGTATGTAATTCAGTGTGAAATGACTTCGGAAAAGCTAAGACACACAGTACTTATTTCAAACAACTACCTATTTTAATAGATGTAAGTTTAGTAGAAATTAGTTATATGCTCAACTTGAAAACAGTTTTAAATCTTATTCTGCAGATGCCATTATGAGTGTATATGTAAGTCTGTTGATACTCTCGTAATTTATATTTTCTCCTCTGAAGTATCTAGAAATAATTTGCTCTCTAAAATTTCATCGGTAATTAATAACTAATTTCAATCTCAAAAGTGATGTTATGACGTATGTACTTCTCTAGCATTATTATCAGATCCTAGTACTTCCCATAACATATCATTGATTTAAATAACCTAATTTAGTCATAAATTAAAGTGTCTTGACGATGTAAATTTGATCAGATTGTTAGAATGATATTATGCAAATAAATTGTATTTTTTAAATAAAACTTTAGTATTTTCATTACACTAAGTAAACTCGTGGAAGAAAACACTTGTATTCCAAGTGAAACAGTATGATAAAGGTGAGATCATAAAAGTAAAAAATTAGTTACTCACGAACAACAAGCGTAACAATCACATCGAAAAGGCCGAATCGCACGGATAACTTCAGAGTTGTTATTGTTTAAAATATGTAATACGAAAGGTCTTGATGGTCCACAGAATGTCCGTGAACAAAAGTCAGATTCTATGGAAAATAGAAAGATTACAAAACCCTAACTAATTAGTACCGTTAAAAATTATGAACAAATGTATATACTTCTTTTCCATCACTCACTAGTCAAGAAAATACAAATATTGTTGAGATAATTTGAAAACAGTAGAAACTAAGCCCATCACCTAGTGCGAATACACTATTCAGTACAATGTTGTATGGTTCTCAGAACTAACCGAATCGACAATTAAATACTCTGCAACCTGGTTTTGTGTTTTCACTAACGAAAAGTTAGAAAAATTACACTTGATACTTTACATCAATCACTTACCGTACGGTAAATAACACCTGGTCTAGCCCATAGTCATTGGTCTTCGACGTCAGCATAACAAGGCCGAGGTTCGGAAATCTGAAGATATAACTATCTGGTGACTGCTAATTAGCACCTCAGCTGGTTTCTCTACTTTCTAAAGCTTAGATCTAACCAAAATGTCGATATCATTGGTAAATTGTAGTAACAAAATAACACAGACAAAATAAAACAATGAACAGTATTAGTCAACTACGCTAGAAAAGACTAGTCAGAGAATATTCAAAAAAGTGCAGGACTGCGTTGTTACTTCTAAGGTTTCTCATAACACCCATACGTTTAGCATAGTAAAGAGAGTTTTGACAATAAACCTTTAGTTAAGATAACAAAAATAACCTGATAGTCAGTCGTGTATAAAAATATAATCGTATCCCGTTTACTTAAGTTAGATTTTCATTGAATACTCTATGTTACTGTCAAACTAGTAAATGAAATAAAGAGTATGCGTAACGATTTTAATTGAGATATTTGTAAGTTTTCAATGAGACTTCGAAATTACGACCAATTTTAGATGTTACACTCAAAGAATATATAATCAGAAATTTGATATCAAATGCAATCAGAAGTTTCCAAAATCAACATGACAAAACGTGTTCGTTCAAAAGTTTTAACAAATTCGGTTGATATTTATATTATGAATAGGCGATTAAAGTGTTGAACTGTAAAAAATTGAAAACGATAGATTCAAACTAGACCAAAGATAATGAGGTATCCAATCTGTTCCAACCATATATAAATCGAATCTCCATTACAGGAAAAGTAAATCTAGGAAACATCTTAAGACGTTGACACAATGACTAACAAACCAGAATTGCTCTATCCCATAATATAAAATACCCTAACTGCTTACTTAACAACGAAGAAATAACCGAACACTGTACAAGTTTATAAATTTTCAATCATGCTAACAATTTTTACTATTTAGCAGACTCCGGCTGATTGATTACGGAATAAATGGAGTGTGCAAAGTCTAAAGTCTCTACTCATCTAAGTTAGAAAAATAATTTCATCTCAGGTTAGCTAGCGATATCGGACTTTAACAATCATGAATGATAACTTGAACGCTGTGTTCAATTTTTACCCTGGTCAAGGATCCAACTTATAAAATCAACATCTTTCTATGAGGTTTGGGGTGGTCATAAATAATGCAACTTGAAGTTCAGTCTCCAGTTGGCAATTGTATCGGCTACGTGAAACGAGTATTTAGTGGTTGTAATCTTGATTACCACATTTTGGATGGTAACCAGCGTACTTACTTATTTAGGCCTGTTACTCCCAATGGAGCATAGGCCAACGACCAGCTTTTTCCAACCCACTCTGTCATGGGCCTTCTTTTCTAGTTCTATCCAGTTTTAGTTCACTCTTCTCATGTCTGTCTCTATTTCTCGGCGTAATGTGTTCTTTGGTCTTCCTCTTCTCCTTCGACCTTCAGGATTCCATGTGAGGGCTTGTCTTGTGACACAATTAGGTGATTTCCTCAAGGTGTGCCCAATCCACTTCCAGCGCTTCTTCTTGATTTCTTCCTCCGCTGGAATCTGGTTCTTTCTCTCACACAGTAACTTGTTGCTGATAGTGTCTAGCCAACGGATCCCAAGTACCTTGCGTAGACATTTGTTGATAAACACTTGTATCTTTTGGATGGTATCCTTCGTTGTTCTCCAGGTTTCCGCCCCATACAATAGAACTGTTTTCATATTTATATTGAAAATTCTGATCTTAGTGTCGGTTGACAGACAGTTGTTTTGAGTTCCAGACGTTTTTCAGTTGTAGGTATGCTGCTCTTGCTTTGCCGATCCGCGCCTTTACATATGCATCTGATTCACCGTGTTCATCAATGATGCCGCCCAGATATGTAATGGTTTCCACATCTTCCAAAGCTTCTCCGTCAAGTGTAATTTGATTGGTGCATATTGTATTGTATCGGAGAGTCTTGCTTTTCTCTTTGTTTATATTGAGACCTACTGCTGCTGAGGCTGCTGCTACACTGGTCGTTTTCTCCTGCACTTGTTGTTGCGTTTGTGTTAGAAGAGCTAGATCATCCGCGAAGTCTAAATCGTCAAGCTGCATTCTGTCTGTCCACTGTATCCCGTGCATTCCTCCAGATGTTGACTTCTTCATGATCCAGTCGATCACCAGGAGAAAGAGAAAGGGTGAGAGTAAGCAAACTTGTCTAACACCTGTCTTTACTTCAAACAATTCGGTGACTTGTCCTCCGTGGACAATCTGGCAGTTTAGTCCATCATAGGAGTTCCGTATGACTATCTTCTCAGGCACGCCGTAGTGTCGAAGAAGCCTCCATAGTGTCATCCTGTTCACGCTATCAAATGCTTTCTCGTAGTCGATGAAGTTGATGTAGAGTGGTGAATTCCATTCGATCGATTGTTCCACAATGATACGTAGAGTTGCGATTTGATCTGTGCACGATCCATCCTTACGAAATCCAACTTGTTGATCTCGAAGTTGGGCGTCCACGGAATCCTTCATCCTGTTTAACAATACTCTGTTGAAGACTTTTCCTGGTATTGAGAGAAGTGTGATGCCCCTGTAGTTGTCGCACTTGGTCAGATCGCCTTTCTTTGGTATCCTGATCAGAAGTCCTTTTTTCCAATCTATTGGTACTTGTTCTTCGTCTCAAATCTTACTGAAGAGGATGTGGAGTATCTTGGCAGTTGCTGCTACATTTGCTTTCAGTGCCTCTGCCGGGATGTTGTCTGGTCCCGCTGCTTTGCCACTCTTGATTTGTCTAATGGCCATGCTGATCTCTTCAATTGTTGGTGGGCCAACATCGATTGGGAGGTCTGTGGGTGCTGCTTCGATGTTGGGTGGGTTCAGTGGAGCTGGTCGATTCAAGAGTTCCTTGAAGTGTTCTACCCACCTGTTTCGTTGTTCTTCCATGTCGGTGATTACTTTGCCTTCCTTGCTTTTCACTGGTCTTTCTTGCTTACGGTAATTTCCAGCAAGCTTCTTTGTTGTATCATACAGTTGTCTCATGTTTCCCTCTCTTGCAGCCTTTTCCGCTGTTATCTCTAAATCTTCCACATATTTACGTTTGTCAGTTCTGATGCTCCTCTTCACTTGTTTGCTTGCCTCTGTGTATTCGGCTTGTGCCTTGTCTTTTTCCGCTCTGGTTCGGCTGATATTGATTGCTGCCTTCTTGTTCCTCCTTGCTTCAATTTTATCCAGTGTATCAACAGTGATCCATTCCTTGTGATGGTGCTTCTTTTGGCCCAGAACCTCCTGACATATTGAAACGATTGCCTCCTTGATACCTTTCCAGCTGCTCTCCATTGTAGTCCCCTCTCCATTGAGTAGATCATGAAAGGCCTCGAACCTGTTGCTGAGGGCTATGTTAAATTCGTTGAGTTTGTCAGCATCTCGAAGAAAGGCCGTATTAAACTTTTGTGATGTTATCCGCACCGTTGTCCAGTGCTTCTTGAGTTTTAGTTTCATCTTGGCAACCAGCAAATGATGATCGGATGCTATATCAGCTCCTCTTCTGGTTCTCACATCCTCCATCGTCCTCCTGAACTTTTTGTTGATGCAGATATGGTCGATTTGATTCTGTGTAGTGTGATCCGGTGAAATCCAAGTGGCTTTGTGTATGTTTTTGTGTGGGAATATGGTGCCACCTATGACCAGTTTATTGAAGGCACATAGGTTTGCAAATCTCTTACCATTTTGGTTCCTTTCTCGCAGCCCATGTCGTCCCATGACGTCTTCGTATCCAGTGTTGTCCTTTCCAACCTTGGCATTGAAATCTCCCATCTGAATGGTCAGGTCCTTGGTTGGGCACTTCTCGAAGATCGACTGCAACCTGTCGTAAAATTGGTCTTTAGCGTCTTCATTGTAGTCGTTGGTAGGCGCATAACACTGGATGACGTTCATTGTAATGCCCTCTCTCTTTGTTTTGAAGGAGGCTTTGATGATCTTTGGTCCATGAGATTCCCATCCAATAAGTGCATTTTGTGCTTTTCTGGACAGCATCAATGCAACTCCTTGTGTATGTGGGGCACTTTCTTTTTCATGGTCGGAGTATAACAGAAGCTTTCCCGAAGATAGTCGTTGTTGTCCAACCTGCGTCCAATGTGTTTCGCTGATTCCAGGCACCTCCAGATTGTATTTTCTCATTTCTGCAGCAATTTGGAAGACTTGTAGTACCAGTTCATATGTTAGGCCCATATACTTTATTCTAGTTACTGGCCAAGCCAATTCACCTGTACATTGAGTCATCTTTTGATCTTGTTAATCATTTGCTTATTAACCTAGAGTACTTTTTATATGAGCGCATATGTGTACACTTCGTATCTTATTCATCATATGTCTGTCACTCATTTTTGCCTGCCTATAAATGTTAGTTAACGCTTGCTTAAAACGAGTTGGCTTCCCAGCCATCTCCACTGCATGTCATTTATGTTCTGCTCTCATCTATTTACTTCATCGTTCTGATTCCCTGGCCAGAGTGTAGGAAATATATGTATTCTAAATCCATTCTCGTATTTGACTTATTTAATTCCGTTATTCACCAACGCGGAATAAAGTCATTTATTATATACGAGTATAGACAGAATCAGATTTACGACGCAACCGAATTGGATGTCTCGCTGAACGAACCCGGACCAGAATCGACAACCTCTGCGTACGAACTCACAACATAATTGGCGACCGCAACGAGTGAACGCATATCAAAAATAGAACGGCCGACTACATATTCCGTTATGATTCGAATAAGCTCTATATGCTCATTATTACAATAATTTCATATCATCAACTAACGTGGAATTATTATTTTTGTTCGTATTAACACTAAACTATGACATTCACTCAGTCGAATCACTAATCGGACAAATTATAATTATATGGACAGTACACGTTATGATATTCGAAACTCACTGGATTATTTTTATTATCCAATGACGTACAATTTTCCTGATTCAAGTGAGTTCGTTCCAATTTTTTTCATGTCATTTTCGGTCTAATATTACACTCTATCATAGACATAAGTTTGGAGTCACACTCCCGGTAGTAGGAACTTATGTTCTCGATGCAACTAATGTTCATTTATTTCATTGGTACGCAGCAACCGTCGTCCCCTACATTCTCAGCGACAACCTGAACCGAACTTTCGCAATTTTTGTTTCACGATGATCCCTACTTTAATGTTTATACACAAATCGAGTATTCGACGCCGCATTACCAGCCGATTAGTAATGATTATTTTCATATTATCTATTTATTCACATTTATATCTGAATGCTGCATCATCCATTACCGATAATCACAATTCGATTACTGCAATTAATATTTTATTTCCATTGTACTGTACACCAGAACATAGAGTTTAGAGCTAGTCTCTCAAAGTTACACTCTTGTTCGTCACATTCAAGTCAGTCTCACTCGCTGATATCGATAATCATATGTATTGGTATTTTTATAATGCCTTAATACGGTTTCGTAACAAATGAGGTTGAGCGCATATCCCTCTAACTACACAAACCACGATAGGCTGCATGACCATAAAGGAATACGACTCCGCATATCTCGTTTCATCAGTCACTATCCTGTTTCTCTGGTCATTCTACTAATACATATTTAGCGATAACTTGACGCACATGACAACGTACACTGACTTCGCATTTTATTATCATTATCAATTGCAGTACAGCAATGAATATCAAACGCCGATGCAGTCATCATCCTACGGCTGGATTATTTTTTATCCCACATGAACTCCAATCGTGTAAATTCGAATCCACTCATCGCCAATCGACTCTATTTACTCGACTGCAGCTTATCAGAACATATTCCACTGTTCTTTATCGTCATATTCAGTCGGCACCATAGACCGATTTCTGTTATATTCTATTTTCACGATATTTCAAATTGCTTACACGAACCTGTTATTTTATCATTCAGACAGTCACTACACAAATGCATGTTAATTTTTTTTCGTACGCTTACTAATGTACTCATAATCACATGCTAGCATTTCAATTTTTTGTCCGAATCTTGACAATATTCATGTACATTTTTACATAAGTATGACACTTTCGCTTAATACGCTCACTCCTCATATGACACTGTAATTTATCAGGTATTGTACCATTTTTTCCCACATTTTGACGTTATCCTCATACCGCTTCAGTGTTATTTTTCGAAAACAGACATTTTTTTATAAATGTGCTATTTTCTACAAGGGGGCTATGTAGTACCAGTTCATATGTTAGGCCCATATACTTTATTCTAGTTACTGGCCAAGCCAATTCACCTGTACATTGAGTCATCTTTTGATCTTGTTAATCATTTGCTTATTAACCTAGAGTACTTTTTATATGAGCGCATATGTGTACACTTCGTATCTTATTCATCATATGTCTGTCACTCATTTTTGCCTGCCTATAAATGTTAGTTAACGCTTGCTTAAAACGAGTTGGTTTCCCAGCCACCTCCAATACGCATCATTTTTTGCTTCACTCTCGAGTTGGCTTCCCAGCCATCTCCAATACGCATCATCTTTGCTTCGCTTGCTTACAGTTGCTCATGTGCTTACAACTTTCTGGTCTGCATCGATTATCAATAAAAATGTAGTTGCCGCTTCCCTTTGCCTTCTGATATTATACACCGTTAAGATTGGTATTAATAACGGTTATCGAAGCGAACTATGATCGAAGCACGGCACTACAGACTCTTCCGGTCTCCCACATTGTCCGGACATTCCATGTACCTATAAAAATTGTCGCTCTGGTTGTAAGAAGGTGCATCGGCCTCATGACTTCCGAATGAACTCGGCTTTCATCATGAGACGTCATAATTATTCCTTTTACTCCTAGGGTAGAGTTTAAAACGTTTGGATGATTTTTTCTGATTAGTGTTTTTTTAGCGAGTTGATTTTCTACGGGATGGGGTCGCTAACCCCATGTCCAAACCTCCTCCTTTACCCGGGCTTGGGACCGGCAGTAACCCCCAGAGGAGTTACAAGCGGAGTAACCAGAGTACAGTTCTGCAAATACATGGTCCATCATGTTGTTTTTGTGGATGTTTAAGATCGGATATAGTATTCAAGGTGTACATTTCTTATTGATATCCTAATTATTGTTTCTGTTGACGATAAATATTGTTAAAATAAACTTTATTTTTCACTTTGTATAATGCTGTTCATTGTGCTTGCTGAAAATGATTGCTAGATTAATATTAGATTATGATGTTTTGTGTGATTATTGCGAGAGCGATTTACTTGTGTTCAATGATTCTATCGGCTTATGAATGTCTTGCTAACTTATAGTGTATCTTTATTTTGAAGCAAACAACAAAATTGCATCGTTTCTTAGCAAGATATTTGAAAGAAAATCCTAGAGTACATCTTAAAAAGAATTACAAGACTTACCTTCATAGCATCGATATACACTTTGTCCCAGTGTGTTGTAACATGTATAGCGGTTTCGCACTTCATAAGGCAGGATCGCTGTATACAGCCGCATGTAAAAAAAAACTATGTCATGGTAAGCGAATTCAAACAATTTTCTCATATAAAATACAAAATGCTATCAATCAAAGCTAATTAAGTTTAATAATCTTTAAGAATGGAAGCCACACTGAATATGATACTTGTGAGCATTTTTATAGGATTTATCAGTAAGTTTATTTAATATCAAGCACGCAAATATAATCCAAAATAATTTTTCGTATGCACTGCCTAACCTATCATTTTGTGTCCACTCTTTTAACGAGCGAATTTTATATTAGAACTTCATTAATATGTCGTAGAAATGCTAAAAAGCTTATACTGAAAAATTAGCTGTCAAATCTAAGCAATACATATGTCAAAAGCATCAATTTTAGATTGATTCAAAGTTAAACCAACTTTATAACCTAATACAAGCTCAAAATAGATAAACTATTTTCCAAAGTTTCTTAGTTTGATTATTTGCTAAGAGTAAATCATTGAATTATTTTATCAGATAAGTCACTAGTCACTACTTTTTCTGAGATAACGTTAACAAATACATACAATTATCTGCAACTATCTGTTAACTACTTCTTACGTCTTTTATCAGAGACGGCTGAAAAGTTATTATGAAGAGTTGATCGAAACTACCTGAAGCTAATTTTCACAGATTCATGAAACTCATTGGAACAGCAGCGATAAGTCAAAATTTTTAGATATTTTGTTTAGGGTCGCTTACATGATGAGATACAAGGCGTCAAAAACAGATTCCGCTCCAATGTTAAACCACAGTTGGATAAAAACATACTAGAAGATTTCATTAGCAAGTCTAGCTAATGAAAGTCCCGTAGTAAAATTTGTCAAGTACGTTCAGATGCATATAGATTCACTTAGAACATTTGGGAAAGTAATTGATTCTTCAGAGAATCACCGCAACGGTTACGGATAACGACAGAACTATGTCACTGACAAAGTTAATGACAGCATTTAACTTGTCAATAGTCTTTATTTACGCCCGAAGATTATCAACCGGAACTGTAAGAAAGCTCTCATTTTGGCTCGAAACATGTATACCCAATTCATCAACCACAAGAACTACACCTACTCCTCTACTCTTTTAATATATGCAGAGATTTCGGTAAGTTTCTCCTTTCAGCCCATCGAACTGTACGTAAAAGATTCCCAACTTGAAGGTAAACTAAATGTTCATAACTTTATGAGAAAGTTTCGAAAGGCAATTTGTACAAACAGACCATTTAGATTACCGAAATAACTAAAGTGCTCAAAAATAATACAAGTAATTATTCGGAAAAGAATTATTATGACTAAAAAGATCATTTGACTAACATAACAAATAATGTGAAAATTAAAAACATTACCACCCATCTTGACTTTAACTTGAAGGAGATAGTTTAGGCTAATTTGTAAGTATTAATTGCAAACACTAACTAAACATACACATGCCCACAACAATGTGGAAAGGCTGGTAGAAGGTAGATATACAGACGCCAGTAAAAGGATAAAACGTGTAACTTAACAGCAAGTGGCTTGATTGCTGATTAGAATATATCGAGGTTTGATAAGAAGCTACGGTAATATTGCCTAAAATCACAATGAAAAATCCAGAATCAAACCCTCTAGCTCAAAGGACTCAAGAAAAAAACAATTCATAACTGTTTATCCTGTGACGAGATGTCTTTGTAAAGAGTCAGGGCGATTAGTACTGATAGCTTGCTCAACCGGGATGAATGACCAAATGTATGACAACATATTGTTTGAATCTGTATTTTAAAAACATTGCTACATATATGGAAACTCGAGTACGATTCGATAGTTTTAGAAATTATTTTTATTAATCTTGTTTTTCTGTGATGAGAAAGTGGAACGTTTAGGAATGATCTACAGGAAATTTCTTTTTGCTGCAACACAAAGCTACAGCTATAGGACGATTTTGCTCACATATTTGAAACTATTAAGAAACTTTTTATATGGAGGTCTTGCGTTACAGATCTCTCTCCTGGCGTAAAAACTAAAGAAATAACGCCTTTCCCATGGGCCTCAGTCTCTTTTAACAGAACCACGTGGACTCGATTTAAATTAAACCTATGTTTCCAGTGTATTAGTCGATCTAGCTCGATATATTATTTCTATGTTTCCTATCTGAAACAAATGTGGTAAAACAGACATAAGAAATTAAAATAAAGTGGTGAACATGTTTTATGAGGTTCCTTTAAAGGGATGCTTGAATCCTTTTAACCTCCCAATACTATTTTATCATAGATTAAGCTGATCAATTAAAGGAGCACTGTCGATGAGTTCATAAACCTTAGAAACACGCACGTAAAGCATCATTTCTCATGTTAAATTCCAAGTCAATTGTATATTCTACCGGAGCAAATGGCATCTGACTATCTTTTAAATATTTTCGGTCGATAATAGATCACGGCATTTACGGGAATCGTAAAACTTCAAACAGAACACCAGTCTTTGTAACTTTAATACAAAAACTAGTAAGCTCGTTATTCACTCCTATGCCTTTTGGCAACCATTACTCATTTAAGATTAAGACATTTCGAGGTGAAAGCGAAGATTCTTTCGATGTCACTTCTAACAACCAGAGCAACAACATAAGGGAATGGGATGTCCAGACAATGTGTGAAACTGGCTGGACCAGTCAAAAAGCAGTGAAGACGACAAAGATCAGCTTCATGAGAGGCTGCAGTCGATCATAGAGAAAAGACAAGACCATGCTAATGGGAGATATAAACACCAAAGTCGGAATGGACAACACAGCAGATGAAGATATTATGGAACGACATGAACTGGGAGAGAGAGAAACGAAAATGGTGACAGATTCGCAAATCTATGTGCATTCAACAAATTGGTTATAGGCGACACAATATTCCCACACAAACACATACATAAAGCTACATAGATCTCACCTGACCACACCACAGAGAACCAAATAGATCATATCTGCATCAATAAAATGTTCAGAAGGACAATGGAAGACGTGGGAAGCAGGAGAGCAGCTGACATAGCTTCAGATCACCACCTGGTGGTTACCAAGATGAAACTGAGGCTAATTAAGTACTGGACAACTGGAGAAACAGCATTACAAAGTTTCAATACACACTTCCTTCGAGATACCGACAAACTCAACCAATTCAAGATAACTCTCAACAACAGATTCCACGCTTTACAAGATCTACTCACAGAACAGGAAGCTACTATGGTGAACAACTGGAAAGGGATCAAAGAAGCACTAGCTCCAGCATGCCACGAGGAGCTGGGCTTCTAGAAGCGTCATCATAAGGAATGGATCTCCATTAAAAGCCTGCGTGAGATTCAATAAAGGAACAACAAGAAGTCAACAAGGGGCAGCAGTTGAACAACAGCAGAGAAAACAAAGCTACGGCTCGAATACACAGAAGCAAACAAGCATGTGAAGAGGAGCATTAAGGCCGACAAGCAGATATATGTGGAAGATCTAGCAGCGATAGTGGAAAATGCTGTAACAGAAGGAAATCTCTGACAACCATATGACACAACGATCAAAAAACTGAAAGGAAAATATAGTAAACCAGAGAGACCGGTAAACGACAAAGAAGGAAAGACAATCACTGAGATTCAAGAACAGAGGAACAGATGGGCAGAATACTTCGAGGAACTGCTCAATAGACCAGCCCCATCTAATCCACTGCACATCGAAACAGCACACACAAACCTTCCTATAGACGTCACTCCACCAACCATCGAAGAAATCAAGATGGCCATCAGACAAACCAAGAATGGGAAAGCAGCAGCGCCTGACAATATACCAGCTGAAGCACTGAAGTCAGACATTGAAGTAACTGCTCACATGCTCCACCTTCTATTCAAGAAGATTTGGGAAGAGAAACAAGTGCAGACGACAGACTGGAAAGAACGACACCTCATCAGGATATCCAAAAAAGGAGATCTGAGCAAATGTGGGAACCACAGAAGCACCACGCTAATGTCAGTACCACGAAAAGTTTTCATCAAAGTATTGCTGGACCGGACGCAAGACTCAGTAGACGCCCAAATTCGAGATCAACAAGCTGGATTCCGTAAGGATCGATTGTGCATAGAACAAATCACGACACCACGGATCATCGTTGAGCAACCAATTGAATGGAACTCGTCACCACACATCAACTTCATTGACTTTGAGAAGGCGTTTGACAGTGTGGATAGGAGAACATTATGGAAACTTCTTCAACACTATGGTGTGCCTGAGAAAATCGTAGACATCACACGTAATTCATACGACGGACTACAGTGCAAAGTGGTCCATGGAGAACAGCTGACAGACACATTTTATCTGAGGACAGGAGTCAGACAACGCTGTTTACTCTACCTTTCTCTTTCTTCTGGTGGCTGACTGAATTATGAACACCTCCACGTCTGACAGGAAGCACGGAATACAATAAACAGGTTGGATGCAAACAGACGATTCGGACTTGTAAGATAATTTAGCTCTTCTATCCCATACACACTAAACAATGCAGATAAAGACAACCAGCATAGCAGCAACCTCTGCATCAGTAGGTGTCAACATACACAAGAGAAAAAGCAAGATCCTCAAATACAACACAGAGAACACCAACTCAATCTCACGTGACGGAGAAGCTCTGAATGATATAAAATCTTTCACGTACCTGGACAGCATCATCGATGAAAAAGGATGATCTGATGCAGGCGTTAAGGTGAGGATTTACTATTTAAATTAACTCATTGCTATAATCGTTAAGCTATATCCTAATGCAGATGTCTAATCGGGCATAACGTTTTAGGAGATACTTTAAGTTCCCTGACGTTTCTTTGTCAAACACTGATCAGTTAATAAACAACGGAATATTTTTGTTACATTTTATAATGACGGCAGTTAATTTATTTGCTGACACTCGTAAAATTCATATCAGTAAAATTGTGGTTTTAAAACTTAATCCCCATACGATCGCTGATTTCACAGTCATAGAAACTTTTATTGCTGAGATACAGAAAACTAGAAATATGGTACTAAAACGCACTAACTCATTATTCTAATTAAAACTAACGATGACTAATGTAGTTGCGATTATTTCTCATATAAAAATATTACCTATACACATTCATTCAAATCTACTGTTTTTCTACAAAATCATTCTATGAATAGTGTTTAGAATTTTAAAAATACACTAGAAAGTGTATGTCTGCAATCATAAAATAGACTGAAAAATATTACCTACTCACTTTCGATAGCATCAATCACCTGTTTAACCAACAATTGGTCAATTTGAGTCAAATACTCAAGACCCGGAGGACAGTTGATCACAGCTGGTCTTTGCATCCACATAACTAAAATCAAGAAAACTTCGTTATTTGCACCTACTCATATATACAATATTACAGCAGGTTCTCTGTAGTTTTTTTAAATGCACTAATAAGTCTACTGTTATTTGATATTCACAAAACTACTAGAAATTCATTTAGAAATATAGTGAATGATCAATGACTACTGATAGACTGTAAATGGTGCTATGTATTTACGATACTGACAATATGCTGAAGATAAACTCGACTTCAAAAATTCTGTGAGTTATATAAGCCTTTCATACACAAACGTTTTTGAGTAAAGAGCAATAAAAATGTGTTGTAATCAAGAACCAAAATGTGAATAAAGTAACAATTTTTCTGTGATGTATATTGGTGTATTTGCATCAAATCTGACATAAAAACAAAAGACTTGATATTTGTATTATTCTTCTGTCAGGTGAGGTGAGAAATCAATAATATAACACTTGAACGTGTGAAATCACGATAAAATTTACACTAAAGACCAACAGATAGTTTTTTAACACAACCCAACCATTTTAACGGTTCCTTACACAACAGTTAGTAAAATGTACGGTCCTGCCGATTTCCAAACTTTAGAAGACTGATACATTGATAAGAAAGCTACTGATGACAGCTTTGGGTCTTCAAACCCCTGAATTTACTATGGTATAAAGCGACCCATGTAGTGGTTATGAATATTGATGTAACCAGAAATTTAATGGAACTCAATAGACCAATACAAGTTTTTTTGTCTAACATCGGAATTTGTTTTCTATAATGAAGACCAACCCTACCGAGCTGCCTGAAATCAAAGTAGGTAGATCAGATTGAAAACTTGCTGAAAAGCAACTGGAAATCAAGTCCATAGACCAATAAGTCACCTTAAACCTAAGATCTAACACTTAGAGTATATGTAATCTACTACTAAAACCATATCAAGATTATCCGACAGCTCTGAGCTGTAGGCTACTGAGAATTGAATAGAGAAAAACAAAAAGACCTATGATCTCCACTGGTAACTCATCTATAATGATGTGGGGCCCAATGTTTAGTATTTCTGTAGCAAGCTGGTACACACCGATCGACTCCGCGCTCGCTTTTAGTTATTAAGGTACGGTTCCAGAGTTTTATTATCATCTAGTATTGGCAGTCTAGATACTCAAATGCAATAGTTCTTTTCAGTCAAACATTAAATAACAGACTAGTATGTCCTGATTAAAATGAAGGCATCCACTCAAGAACAATGAGCTAGCTACTTTGATATGGGGTGAATGATTGATTGATTTTAATACTTAAAATTTCGCGGGTTAAACAGAGAAAAATATTTGAAAGATAAAGTCCCTAGTAAACAAATAAGTCTATTAGTCAGTTAGGAAGGTATTATACGTGGATATATTAGTGGAGCAGTTATAACGAGATAAGGTGCGAAAAGTCTTATTTATATATATTGATATCAAGAGGGCCACATGGAAACGCAGTCACACCAGGTCTAAGAGCTTTAATGAATAGAACGTAACACATCGAGGGACTAAGTGAAATTCGAACCTTTATCTATCGTGTTTTTTTTCTTGCTCTTACGTAAGAAGTCCTTAGTAAAAAACCTGGAACCGTACCAATGTAATAAAAAAAGAGCGCGAAGCAATCGACCACTCCATACAAACTCGTCACGATGTTATCGGAGCCCGGAAATCAATCGCTCACTAAAAATAGTTATATTAACGGATGTTTTAACATAAGAATTTGTAAGACCTGTGTGAAAACCGATACCTGGACAGAGAATTCGTAAAGTTGCGGAATGTCTTTACGAACGGCCCATATTTCACAAAACAATTTTCATAATCAAATAATGAAAGGTAACATATTCAGCCGTCCCCTCTTTCTGGTGTCAATATACGATCTCAGAGCATGAAAATCATCTAATGTGTCCATTTCAGCTGATCAACTTAACTAAGATAGCTCTTAAAACGACAAACATTTGAGACAAATACGCAGAACACAACCCTATGATATTTTTAGTGTCTTAATGTCATAGAGTAGCTTCTTAGAATGAAGGAAGCTCTTTAATAAAAAACAATAAGGTAAATAAATTACAATTTTGCGAATATGTATCACTTCTGCCTAACTATGCCGTCTGTATACGGGCCAAAACCTACAGAAAAGTGAACACCCTCCACCAAGGGTAACTTTAAATTCAGCACACGGAACATAAGAGATTTTATCGACACCCAAGAGATCACTGTCTAAGCGATCCTCAAAATCCAAGTTAGGCACGACAAACTGTGAGCCAGAAAATATGTTGCTTGACGATCAGCTAACACCGAAGAACCAACCTCTATGGTTGCTCACAGAATAACTGATCTAGTAGCTAGTGGTTGTGGTGATACTCACGAACACAACGTGCAGCGGTGGCACAAACTATCAGGTAGCATAGATCTGTACGTCACCATGACGATTAGCAAATCCAGACTATTTTGTGTGTCACACCTCACGACCATTAAAGTTCCCCGTCAAGTGACTGTAAACTGACAGGAATTACTTGAGGCCCCCCAGGTCTAGTAAATCTCGAAAAAACACCTCTTCAATCACATGTGATGTTATGAAAGCCGGTTAAAATAGGTAAGGCTACAGTGAAAAGGCTCAAGAAAATAGACCACTGTGTCGGTTGACCATGATCAACAACCTACGGTACAAAACACAGGTTTCCCTAGTGGGGTACGCTATATAAGTAACAAAAGAACACAGAAGACAGTTTGCTAGGAACTGACCATCTCACTCTGAACATTGATCTGCTTAAAAAACAGAAGACCCATTATGCTATAAAGGAGCACCAGGTAATGAGACAAACCCCCAAGAGCCTCTACAGCAAAATGGAAGGACCAGGGAGTAAACTAAGAGAAATCGGAAATCCGAAGATCGTAGTCCCGGCCCAAACATGGCTATTACCTGACATCATGGAATGGTTGGCCAAAAGTGGATGGCTACTTGGAGGTAGCGAGGAACATCATTCAGAATGCTCTCCAGAACAATGTTCCTCAGTGTAACCACACTCGGAAAGCAAAGATCCAGGCTTGAGTGAGGCCTAGAACGCCTGCTACAGGTCAGATAATGAGCCTGGTACAAGTGAAAAGTCTTTTTAAAGGATTCTGATTGCAGCTTTCACTTGACATTGAGAAAAAAATTCAACTACAAATTTTGGAGCGATAAGAGATGTTTTCTGGTCAAGTAAGAAGCAAGAACTCAAGATAACCCCAAAGATCGCCACAGATTCATGACCACGGAAAAGCTTAAGAACTAAGGATCTATGTTCCTAAATAGCCGTCTGACAAAGGTCTCATTAACTAAGAAATGGTGAAGACCCTTGATGCTAACATCATAGACCAACCAAACCAGGAACTTGCAAGCACGGAACATCTTTCAACTCTTGTAGCAGTTGAAGGTCTTGAGGATTTTAAACTAACGCCCTGGCCAGTATTGAAGAGACTAAAATCCCGCTTTCAAGGAAGTCACCAGGATGTGAAAACACTCGATCTATAATCCTGAAACATAATGCGATAGCTACCAGCACGCCAGTGTGTGATTTGTCTAGGCACTCACTAGATCCACACTAACTCCTAAGAGGATGGAAGAAGTTCACTATCTCTTCAATCTTCAAAGAGGAATATAGACACGACTCAGTCTGTTAAAGACCGGTTACACTACTCGCAATATTGTTAAAAATAATGTGAGCACCGGTCAGTGAAGAGGTGAGGTCATACGTTAATATAAATAAAATCCTCCATGAAACCCAACACTTGTTTGCCTAAAGACAGCTCCTGTGAAAGCCGAACGACTTGCTGAGACCATATGATACTAGTCCATGCAATATTCCCCGATTTCACATAAATCTTTAACAAAGTGCCCCATATAATTCTAGTAAGTTAAGTTGCAAAGATGGGTTTTATCGTGGCTCCAACATGACCTGGAGAACAAAATATTTCATACCAAAGAAATAAAGTGCACGTGAGTTTGAAAGTTTCAACACCAGGAGTTTCACAACGGCAATCTTACGTTCACTCCTGCTCTTCATCTTAGTCAACGACTTGTTAGATAAATTTAGCTCGACGACTCTGTACTACGCAGACCAGGAGGTCCATGAAAAGTGAAAAGGATTCATTAGAGCCTCAAGAAAACCTTACAATAATAGAGGGATGAGTGATAGGCAACAGGTTAAAACTTAACATGTCGAAATGTCATGTCATGAACGCAACCTCATTTAACATATAGCACTTACATCGTGGGTGGAAATCCACTCTCGACTGTATCCTCATGGCGTAATCACAGGATTTTAACCAAGGGGAGGTTTGACATCATCTCAACAGAACACAAGGAATGTAGTCGAAGAAAACCTACTCTCCACTTTACGCGTAGACATCGTACCTCAATCACACCCGAATTCTTCGGAACATCGTTTAAAACATACGTACGGCCACCCGTTAGAGCCTGCGACTTTGTTGTGTCCCCTCTCTTCAAAAGAAGTACAACTCTGTTGAACGCAGTACAGAGACCTGGAAACCAAGTGGGAAACAATTCCAAAACATAAATCTTGTGTGGTTATACTCCGACGCTTGAAATTATTCTTAGTGAGCAACCGGAGAATAAGAAGTTATCTGGTAATGGTACACAACATGTTATAGCGTACGCAAACAACCTCAACACGACTATATTATCACATCTTCATCACGCTCAACTACACAATCCCCAAAAGATTGACCATTGGAGAGCAAACATTCAGGTACTCTTCCACGTTTTCTCATTAAGAGTTTTCCCCACTTTGAGTGTTCTTCCAGTCGAAGTGATAAAAGCTCTGTTAGTGGAAGCTTTAGAAGGAAAGTAGACGAAAACGTACTCATCAACAAATCATAATCTCCCGTTTGGACTAGTTGTGTCTGATCCGTGTTTCATCATTTATGTACCAGTATCATTGTCGCATAACAGTGTTGTATGCACTACTTGTAGAATCCAGACTAAGGTTTGGATTGAAGAATAACTGTTTAGTTAGTTTAGATACGCGCTATCGCCCAGTTAAAACCAAAACAAGGTGATTGTGTAAATGACGGTTCTAGATTTCATTATAAATATAAATGTACATTATCACGTACACAAATATTACCACCCAGTTATTTAACCAATAATCGTTCAATCAGTAATAGTTCTAAATTACAATAAATAAGCAAGTTCATAAAAAACGTAAGAAAATTATCAAGCGCACCAAACAAACGTTATTCTATCCTTTATGGACAGATCACGTACAGATTCATTCGAAAGATAATATTTGTTTGCCTTATAACACAGTGTTTCCGATTCTGGTAGAGTACTTCAATTCACAATCGAAAATGCAAAATTCCAGTCGTTGCAAACAACACAATCAAAGACGGAGCAAATCAATATGGCTGCCCCCAAGACTAAATATAAATGCAGTTCAAGAAGAAACATGGAAACTCCGTGAATGCGTAAGAAAATTAAAAACTATAATATTATACAAATATTGCCATCTGAAATGGGCTCAAATGGAATGACAAAATGTGCAACTGAAGGAATCAACAGGAACAAATTACAATCGTATACATGAAGGGATTTTCATACACAAAACCTTCAAAATAGATCTTGCACTACCAATGAGGGCAGATATAATTATTACGTGGCAGGAATTGTGAGTGGGTAGCTTTCTGACAGAAGATTAGAATAAAAAGGAGAATGAAAACGAAGAGCAATCGGAGTAACATCAAATTTGGAAGAGTTATGTGGCATTCAAAAACTAATCAAGGAAAATGTGCAAATGGTGTGTTCTGTGTATGATTACCATATCTGAGTTTTCGTTCACTACATCATTAACTACTTCTTTTCTCTCTCACCGTCATATCTCTTTCCCCTTTTAACACTACATTTTGGTTTCACACCTTATCTGAATTATTAATTAGTTGGATAATTTACATACTTTTGGAAACATTCGTCTTCTATTAGCTCTCGACATATCACCTCATCATTTTCACATTGTAACCAAACCACCTGGTAATGTGATAGCTTATCGTTCTCATTAGCCCGGAGACAAACGCGTTCACTCGGATTATTATGATAAGCAAATCCTCACATAACTACGGAACTGATGTTAGTTAGTGACTATCACCCCATGAACATTATCGAAAACTTGAAACCCTTCTGAAACAACAAGAAACAAGCGCAAAAAAATCATTCGGCAAGTATAAACTGGTCACAAAAATATTGAATATTCGGTGTTTGTGAATTTAACCGCTATTCGGTTGCCAATAGGTCCAAAGAATAAGTAAGTATGCGGTTGCTGGAACTGGAAGCTACCATCTTATCAGATAGTCGATCGATTAGTTATGATGTCAATGTGGTAAAATCGGAATCGTGAGTGGTTGTAAGAAAGGAGCCAGTGATAAGACTGAAGGGGCAGTGAAAGGTTACTGAGGTCTAGCTTATTCATAAATCAGGTTGGATCTTTTCTTCTTCAGAAGACAGATCACCGATAGTTGCAAGGTCTGTAATGATGCAGAAAAGACCCCAAAAATGGAGAAATTGTGAGGAGATGAATTCAATTAAATGCAATACGGTGGTATGCAAGCGTGGTAGCTCTATACGACTTGCTTTCACTCCTATTAAATACATTGTTCTATCTCCAGTCTGAACGTGTTCCTGTTATGACTTGAAGTATTTGAATTATAGTATGAACTAATAATCTCAGAAACAATGCAATTTAATCACGAGGTATCGGATGAAAACGAACAAATGTATTGTATTTGGAATTCAAAATCAAAACAGTCATCAGTACAAGGGAATCATTGGTTGATTAAAATACCACATCCGCTACAGCTTAAATTAGAGCGTGTTTGTAATCGATTGAACGTCTTCCTCTTGAGTTCATCTTACGTCTGTTCGACAGTGTATTGAACATAGACTCTGTATTATCTAGAATGCACTCGTTAGTATTAGAATTAACAACCGAAATCGTAATAGACTCACCTGGGTCTTGGAATTGTATACAATCACCATGTCGATTGTGCACTGAGACAACTGATATCTAGAGTTTGAACCATAGATTTTCCGAAACTATTCTCCCCCACGAAATTGTATTGGATCTTCAAATCCCCAAGTTATGAATAATGTGGCTTCATTTATAACATATTCCATATATTGACTAGAGTATTCATTAAAAGTGGCTTCATGCTAAGTATAAACAACAGTTGATATGAAGTTATCCGAATTGTAATGAAAATGAAGCTCACTTAGTACTGGTGCTTTGCATTGAACCAGTTTCCCACGAGAAGCATATGCATTATGAGGATAAATAATGTATGACATGACATTAGAATTTGACTCTTTTGAAATATTTTCATCAAATTTATTAGGGTTAATGAGAGAATAATGGATCACCAAAAAAATCAGTATCTGCTGAATCCGGTTTTTGATCATAATTTGACTAATTCAACATTTTGTTCTCAGAGTTGTAATTTCATCAGAAATATGTGAATCATTATGACAAACCATATCTGGTACAATAACACGAGAAATCTGACAAATAGTTGGTTAATTAGAAACTTATGTCTCACAGTGATTCTGGGTTTTATTCAACTCTTGGCTGCTCTCTGAAGTTATGTCGCTGCTAGATGTCTTGAATAAAGATGAGTGATCATTAGAAACATTCAACTCAGTGGATTCAAAAATTTTAGCATTACTTTCGATGAAATGAATCCTGGTATTATAAACTAACTGAATGTGTCCAATTTTACCACATTAGAAGCATCTAGGATTACGTAATACACATGAATTACATGGGTAAAACTTGCCACAGAACAAACATTTACTATCAAGCATTATTATCTGAATAACCTCGATTACGTATTAAACTGTGACGACGTAATAAAGTAGTGGAATTCGTGATGTCCTAGTGAGTCATATCATTGAATTTTTCTCTCTTACCGCATTCAAAATTTGTATACTTTACATGGTCCAGTAGTAGTTGCTTGAGAGTTGCATAAGGGAGTGAAATCAGTTTGTCTGGAAATGCCAAAGTTTTTATTAGGCTGTATGCTTCTTTTCCAATGAAGGTAAGGAAATGAGCCACAATATTAAAATCCCCAATATCTTCATTGGTCATAGCCCAGATTTTAAACCTCTCCATTTAATCCTCAACATCATTAAAATCGGAATGTATATTCAACCGTTCCATCACAGGCTCCATCGCGACGCCTATGTGATAATTGGGAGTATTTTAATTACGGTATAAACTGGTGATCTCAGAAACAACGCAATTTAATCATGAAGTATCAGATGAAAACGAACGAATGTATCGTATTTGGAATTCAAAATCAAAAGAGTCACTAATACATTGGAATCATTGGCTCATTCAAACACCACAGCTCTCCGTCATATAATGGTAATTATTACGATACAATGATTCAGTGTAGAAAACGATGTGACTTTCACGTAAGGTCTTATAGATTGGGCAGTCACATCACGACAAACCTATAATCTTAGGATTAGGCCTATCGTAGGCGTAGTAATAATGACGAAGTAGATCACAATTCTACGGATCTACCAAACACCGTCAAGGTTAGTGATGACTAACGGGCATGTCTTTTGAGTCACACCAGGTGTTTCTGTGGATTTCATGCATTTATGTGGCATTTATCGTAGACGTTAGAGGGAGTGGAATAAATGTACACACTGAAACTTTTGCTTTTGCGGCAGATGCGTTCAGTTAAACCTCTTCTAAAGCAAATTAGTGTACCAAGGGGTAGAATAACGATAATATCGTAGGTACGATTTCTTGCTGAAGCTAAATTGGAATCAAGTTTTAATGAGAAAGACTTAAGTCTTGGTCTCCTGAAGGGCTAAGGCCGAACTGCATCACTTTCAGTAACGAAATATTCCCATAAATACTCTGACTTTGTCTGTTAGCCAAATCCTAAGACTAACGACAAAACTAAAGGATGAAAATGTGCTTTTATTGTCTTAGGCGTTTGTAACTGTGCTTGAAAGTTTCATAACTACTGAAAATTCCCAGTAAGTTGGAGCAACGTGCATTATTGAGAAAAAGGCTTATAAGTTGGTTAACGTGCACCAGTGTTTGTAACAAGTGCTTCAGTGAAGATTCAGTGTAACGTCTATTCAAACGGAATATGAAGTCTGGTTTTCACATGCCTAAATGACGTTGGTTTGAAAATATTGCTGCTTTACAAAATTGGTATCGCTGGATAGTAACTAGGTTATCGAAATCTTTTAATTACTTAGAAGCGAACTACAAGTTGGCGTCTTTGCCTTTGAGAGAATTAAACTAAAAATTCCCAAAAATGTTCACCACTGTGTGACAGTTATTTATTGTCCTAGAGCCGCAATTCTTAACAGTTTATAGTGGAACAATAAGTTAGCAGGTAAAACTCATAATAGCTGCTGGAGTGAAATATGGAAAGAACATTTGGATGAGAGAATATAGCCATAAAGATCAAGGCGGTATTGGTTCAGATGATGGAAGGGAAGTCAAAGTTTGAATTGGAAAGGCTGTTCAATAGAATGGAAAGTTCATCGAACGGGAGAAAGGTGTTTAGAAACTTTGGTAACTGAATATATTGCTGTTTTTCCACTCTTCTCTCCTTCGTTGTTCTGGTGTCAGCCACTAGGCCATAGTGTGATAGTCTGAGTTAACGTGTCATAAGTAGTAGAGCAGCGAATCCAGCATAAAATTGGTAACATGCTTTGGAACAGTGAGAGTAGGAGAATAACCTCAGCATCACTGGTTTCTTTCCTCAACATCAACCATAAAGAGTTTAAAACGAAAAAATGTTCTACCTCACACATATGGGTCGATTTGAGAAGTCACCCTCACCATTAATGCTAGCTGGTTAGTAACTTCACCACATAATTAACAGACCTTGAATGATTTTGTCCCTATCTTTCTGTTGTGACTTGATCAAGGTCGTCGCCAATTTGTTGTGACTTCACAAAATAAACAAAGGACGTATCCTAATTCGTCAGTGTTTTTTTACGTCCGGCTTTTATTCACGTGAATTATCCACCAGTGGAAATACGACTTCTTCGACCTTAACACTGTGACAATCAATAACATTCGATCAGTATGAGTAATCTAGCGTCCTTATTGGTCCTTTGTCCGCCTAGCCCTTCCACTTGAGTCCAGAACACAATGACAGCTGTTATGCAAATCTGTGCGAATCATTTATTTCAAACATACTCTGTCTACATACCAGGCATACAGATCACATCGTATCAGAAAATAGAAAATAATATTTGCAAAAAATCAAGCCAAATGTGGCTGTGAATGTGTGAGGCAATAATCGATAAACCGAGTGTAAGTTAGGAACAGTAAATCGTATAATAATAATAATCAATAGGTCAAAATGGAGCTTACAATAAGATGAATATAGATATACATAATCTAGCTACTGAATAGTTATACAACAAGAATATATTTAGAATAATCGTCCAATAATAGGTCCTAGGAGTTACCCGTACTTATGTCTTCGCTAGGATATAACACTTTCCTTATCTATAACGTTCTGTTCCGTTCACAAGCCTCTGATGTATGTACAACTGTTGTCAATTTACTCATAGAGTTTACGAAGATAAAGTTTCCTGCTTAACAACACAGAGATTCACACAGTAATTCAATAAAAAGCGTGAACAGAATTTTGTTCAAAATAGGTATGAGTGCACAAATTATATGACATACCAGAACGGTGTCATTAAATAAACTGTAAGTTCCATGGACATTCTCAAAACTATCCGACGGAACTATAATAAATGACACGAACTTATAAAATAATTAGTATCTGAGGCTAGCAATAGTCCTAATAGGCAAAGAGCAAGTTTCTATCCTACTAAATAGATCAGTTGTGTGATGAAAGGCAAATATAGCGTTGAAAACCGTGTGGCTGAACTGTGTGGTTTGTGCATTAATTTACAATTTGCTGTTGGATGAATTATTGTCTGGGTATGTATGATCCGAAGATTTTATGCAACAGTACAGTTTTACGGGCATATAGGTATATGATAATGAAAGTCATTAGAGGTATATAGAGTAACCACTAAGATCAAAGTGACATTTAATTATCATATAATTCTGTTGGTCTATACCACTTAAGACAAGTACAGGCATACTTTGCAGTATGGCCTGCATATTTAGGGTGGATGACTTTAGGTTACCAAGTCACTCCATCTGCTTCGGTGTATGTTTAAAAACATTGACCATCCTTGATAACCGGACATGAAAGATCGCTGAATGAAGGAATAATTAATCGTTTTTACAGACTTTCCAAAGAAATTATTCTGGTTTGGTGAATGTGGGCTCACCTATTAATTCAAATGGCCAAATCTGTCCCGGAACAATTTTTGTCTCCAAATCGATAGAAACATTTTTCTCTATCAGCCACAAGCTAAGCCTCCAGGATATTTAACTTGAGTAAATTTTGTAAAAGTTAAAATAAGTAAGATTAAACACAAAGCCTGAAAAAATGACGTCTATTCCATAATATGAGTGGTTGATTACTTTCTAAGAAAATAATATTAATATCCCGATGAACCAAAAGACATGCTTCTTAAGCAAACGCTTCAGGTTTAGTTATAGTGCGCTATTTCACAAGGTTTCATTAACCGCGGTTGAATTGCAAGCCGTCGAATCACTGTCTGTAGGCAGTTTTAAGTGGATGTTGGATTTGTCGTAAAGGTCTCAAAAGTTAATATAGGCTGTTTAGCTACCTGTGCTTACGACTTAGGGTTGGTTTTTTCATTTGATGGTGCGAATAACATCTTTGAGACTTCTTCATGTCCAGTCGCTTCTTTGCACGTTTTGTATTTCATCCTTTATTTTCGGATTGTTCGTCCCTTTGGAGGTAGATTTAATGTCTCTCCCTTTTTCGAGTATACATGATATTTACAGGCTTTTCACTTTCCACTTAGTGACGGATGAGATTTGTGTCTTCATTTTTACAATCCTTGCCATTTTTATCTATACAAAGCTTGTATTTCATGTATGGAGCAAAATTGAAATACTATTCTACTATTGGCTTGTGAATACAAGCGCCGGAATGTTTGCGGTTTTCCCAGCGATTTTTCTTGATAACAAATCATTCAAACGGATCAATGGGAATTCTGCATTTTTGTCTTCTGTACTCGTAGTTCTAAACCAATTAAGTACAGATCAATCACTTGTAAATATCAGGGGTTTCGAATTTAAATTTCAGTATGGTCTTCCGGCTATGTCGATCACATTTTTGTGTTTGTTGGTAGTAGGGTTTATCAGGCTCTCTTCTGTTATCCTGTTTTGTTATGGAATTCTGTGTAGTTGGTGCTACCTTCGCTTTCTACAACGTCATCCTCAAGGAAGGAGAGGTGATTATCGTCCATCATTCGCATTCGCCAGGTTTGCATAAATTTTCATTCTATATTATTTGCAATATTTTTAATTGGTTGTCCTGTGAAATTAGTATATCACTACACCCGCATATATTCCTGCCGGGTTTGTGCATCCATCATTATACGGCTTGCCGAACTTGTTAGTGTTAATCTTTCCATGTATGTGTAGGTTGGAACTTTCTTTTCATCTGCCGAGTCTGACATTCAGAATGATTTGTCATTTTCTAATTTAATATGTTTACCTGACCCATAATTGGTTTACACTTGTCCCCATAGTCTTATTTAGGCGATATCTTCTATTTTAATCATTTAGTATTCGAACACATTTCAGAAGTCCTCATCACAAGGTACGCATCATTATTTTTATTCATATTCATATTCTGGTACTTAAGGACACTCAAATGAAATACACCACACAAATGATATTGTAAAGAAGTAAATGAAGGTAGGGTAGTACAATCAGTAAATAAGTAAACAATAATAGTATCCACTCAGCCGTAAAAATCATTTAGGATCCAGCCAAAAATAGTTGCAGTCCATAATGGTGATATCACTAATAAAAAAAAACAACTAATAATAACAACAACTAATAAAAAAAACAAAGCATATTTAATAACGTCTCAATTTATCAAGCTTTTTTAATGTTAGTTGCTAAGATTCTGCAAGTACAATTTCATGTTAATCTCTTTCATAAACTCAACACCAAACCGTTTTGAAATTATTTGTTTAAATTTAGACGGAAGTTTCCATACAGTAAATTCTACTTTTTCATTTTATTGCTAAATTGAATTATCTTGTTCACATTATGTGGAAAGATTAAGACGTACGGTTATGTCACTGTATTTATTTTTCCACTGAATATTTAAGCTCATTCGACATCTTTATGATGTCTGTTTTAAAGTGAGCCCTCAAGTGCCCTGGTAGTGCCGAGAGTGAGGAGAATCCGCTCTCCCTCTCGAAATGCTCTCACATGGCCACGCGAATATATAGCCTCTGCCGGGGAAGTCCTACTCACTGCCTTCTCGTGGCGGGGGTGTTGTTTACGAAATTGAGGGGACGAAAAGTGAATGTCCGGCGCTTTAACCGGGTTGGTGGACAAGGCGAGTCCACCTAGGGGAGTTGGAAAAACCCATTACAAACCAATGGTGCATATGGGCTCCAGTATCCTGAAGGAACAAATGGCGTATGAACCAATTGTTGGTCACCAGTCATCATGAGACTGCATCTCCTTACGATGCTCCACTGCCTTGTGGATCAGACTTTTAGGTCGAAGATTTCGGGTGTGGTCCCCTAAGAAAACCACCTGCTTCAGTCTGGGCACCTGGGGAGTATCACAGCCCTCACACAAATCGAATGAGATTTGTGAGGCGCATATATGTCTGGTGCTTCCTTGTACCAATATTTGTGTTAAAATATATAAATAAAAATAGTTATAGCTGTTTGCCTTCTCACTGAGTACTTGTAAATTTAAAAAAATATAAGTTGGCCAAAGCAACTGTTAAACATCATATTTATATATTGCTGATCATATAAACACTAATACAATAAATAATTTCTTTTATTTCTTAGACTTTTTCCCGAACCAATAAGCAAAATAGTTTCAATTCCTTCCAACGTTTTCTATCAACTTCTACTTCGAACCAAATTTTGTCCTGGACTAAAAAGAGAAAGTGAAGTTATTATAGAACCTTCACCGACCTTCGGGTCACATGGAATGATATCTTCTGATCCAGAACGGCATCGGTAAGTTTCGTTAATATAGACATTATGTAGTGAATGATAGGCTACTGTATTAATAACACCGATGTTTTTATCTACTGACGATTCTAGTTCATTTCTATGAAGTGTTTATGTGACAATGCACATTATGTTTCTCACATTGACTTATGTGTAAACAGCGAAGAATAATAAACTTTTTAACACTGGAACTAGTTTGCTTTCCTTGGAGTTGCGTAGTCTAATCTGGATGGTTTTATCTCAGATTTTTTTATTGTTTATCCACGCCAGCTTTTCAGACAAAAAGTGTCTATTCAAACTACTAACTCTAAAAACTCATGTATGTCTATGTTCTAGGACCTGACGTAGAGTGAATATCTGGTCTATACAACCACGTCCAGATCGAAAACCAGCCTGGTTTTCTCTAGTCTGCTCTTCACGAGCTTTGGTTAGGCGTCTAATTATTATTGAAGCTAATATTTTAGACACTATATTAGTCAAACTCATCACTCTGTGATTGTCACAGGAGGACTTTTGTCCTTTCTTATAGACTGGCACAATCAGTTATTGGGAACAGTCAGATAGAATTACGTTTAGTTCCCAGATTCTACCTAAGACCTCAATCAGTCTCGCTGCGAATACTGGGCCGCCATCCTTAAAAATCTCGGGGGTAAACCTGTCAGGGCCTGCTACTCTCCCTCGCTTCAGATTTCCTATAGCTTTTTCAACCTCGTAGAGAGTTGGAGGACTTACATCAATTTGCCATTCAGGTCAACTGGGGATCGTGGGGAACCGAAGTGTGGGTGAAAGCCAGTTGAACTGATCCCTATAGTGTTCTACCCATCGATCCAATCTCCTGGATTGAGAATGAATAATATGTCCATCTTTTTCCGAGATAGTTTCGCTGACAGTCGGGTTCCTAATACTCGTTTCTTTAACAAGTCTGAACAGTTGTCTGCTGTTGCCTATTGCTGCTGCCCTTTCCATCTCTCTTGCTTTCTCTACCCACCACTGTTCGTGATCATTGCATAGGCTTCCTATTAGCCTGCGCTTAAGCTGACTCCGCTCTTCGTTATGTTCAGAGCCAGGTGGGATGAGTTTACGAGCATCTATCAGTGCGGTAGATGCTGCTGAGATCCAGTGTTTCTCCCTAACCTTATGGTTCACCTTACTAGCGGATATCATTGCTGTTTCAACAGCTTTACGGATGTCATTCCATGCTGCTTCGGGGTGGGCACAACTTACATGGCTGCCTAACTGTTTTTCTAGTTGTTCCTGAAATATGTTCTTAGCTTGCTTATCGTTAAGTAAAACCCTAAGAGGTTTCCTTGCAGTGTCTTTCCTACGTCCAGTAAGACGCAGACAGATACGTGCTCGCACTAGAGCATGATCTGAGTCTAAACATGTTCTCCAGAATGAGTGACAGTCTTCTATCGAGCCCCTCTATTGGGGGCTGGTAGCGATGTGATCTAATTGGGTCCAACGTTGGGGCGAATTCGGGGTTCGCCATGTCAAAAGATGTTTTTCCTCATGCTTAAAGTTAATATTTGCAAGAATTAGGCGGTTATCTGAGCATAGCTGCAACAGACGGTCGCCATTATCTGTTCTTTTAGCCACGACACCATAAGATCCACCCAGGTGTCTTTCCCTTTCACGTAGTTTACCTACTTGAGCATTAAAGTCACCAGCCAATGTTACTACATCAGAACGCCTAGAAGAAGGTCAGAAAGTTTCCTGTAAAACTCATCTTTTATATCGTCTGAGCTGCAGTCAGATTAGGCAGAGACGATGAAGAAGCAACGACGAGTTTCCCTATGTTTCCGAGTCCTTACTTATCCGTTTAATCGACAGCTCATAGACGACTGTTTATTGGGATCCAGTCTAAAAGAGCTAGTCCTGCCCTAGGACTTAATGCTATACCTACTCCAGTGAGGCCATTGGAAGCAGCATCAGGGCTTCCAGATACACGAAGCGTGTATCAAGATGGTTATTTATTTTGATAAGCTGAGGTCAAATGAATAACACTACTCGGATCTTGTATGCGCGTTTCGGAGACGCAACACACATCGATGGTGTAAGATTCTAAAGTCCTAGCTAAGGAAGCCTGTTGTCCTGTTTGGCACAACCTTCGGACATTAGAAGTTCCTATATGTAGTTTAGAGCGTGCTTTCAGGAGACTAGGAATAACGTTGTGTGTACTCGAATAGTTTGCCCTAGCGGTGCGAGGTAGTAAAAGGACGTGAGAAGGGTTAGTCGTGGTACGGCCGAGAGTGAGGAGAATCCGCTCTCCCTCTCGAAATGCTCTCACATGGCCACGCGAATATATAGCCTCTGCCGGGGAAGTCCTACTCACTGCCTTCTCGTGGCGGGGGTGTTGTTTACGAAATTGAGGGGACGAAAAGTGAATGTCCGGCGCTTTAACCGGGTTGGTGGACAAGGCGAGTCCACCTAGGGGAGTTGGAAAAACCCATTACAAACCAATGGTGCATATGGGCTCCAGTATCCTGAAGGAACAAATGGCGTATGAACCAATTGTTGGTCACCAGTCATCATGAGACTGCATCTCCTTACGATGCTCCACTGCCTTGTGGATCAGACTTTTAGGTCGAAGATTTCGGGTGTGGTCCCCTAAGAAAACCACCTGCTTCAGTCTGGGCACCTGGGGAGTATCACAGCCCTCACACAAATCGAATGAGATTTGTGAGGCGCATATATATCTGGTGCTTCCTTGTACCAATATTCATGTGTTAAAATAAATAAATAAAATAGGAGGTGTCGGAAGGATTTGAATGTGACCAACTTGGTCTCGTGTGCAGTTACGGGTATGAGGGCTAATATCACTTCCCGGCTGCCCATACAGTGGAAGGGTATTTTTTGAGAGACCTGAAAAGGAAATTGGATTAGTGTTGGTCTTAACAACTCCAGATAGGTACTGCAAAAGGAGCGACAGTCTTGTACACAACCACGCCAGCGGTAGCTGATCGCGATGTGATCAATCTGAGTCCAGGCTCGAGATGTAGAGGGAGAACGCCAGGTGGCACACAGGCGATGACTGTGCCGGAAGTTAGTGCTAGCCAGAAACAGGTTGTAGTCTGTGCGCAATTGCTGTAGACGGTCCCTGTTATCTGTCCTGCGACCAACAAGTCCCCATCGGCCACCTAAACGACTCTCTTCTGTGCCTAGACGCCCGACTTGTGCATTCAAGTCTGTCAAACGCGCTTTCTGGAGAAGGACAGTTAACTGATGGTAAAACTCATCCTTGATTGCATCCGGGCTGCAATCTGTTGGGGCATAGGCGGAGATGACGAAAAGACACCGTTTCTCACGCCGATTTCTTCTCACTTTGATGGAACTTTCTAATCTAACAGCACATAACCGACTTAATGGGAACCAATCGATTAGTGCTGCCTCAGCTCTAGCGCTTAGTGCGGCATCAACGCCAGCAAGACCAGACGAAGATGCCACAGAGTCCCTGGATAAGCGCACGTGAAACAAGCTTTTCGAAGCGACAGATGGAGAGTGAATTTGTAGTACTTCACTAGAGTCTTGAATATGGGTCTCGGATAGACAGCAAACATCAACATTAAGACTTTCTAAAGACATAGCCAGCCTCATCTGTTGTCCGATCTGCATTAGTGTGCGAACGTTGAAGGAAACCAGGTTGAACAGTGTACGTGGTTTCAGAAAGACTGGTTCACTATTCGTAATCGGTGGAAGCATTCACTTTCGACCAGACTGTGACTGGAGATCGTTTAGATAGAACAGAGTTTCCACCATGGGCGAGCTGCTGCATAAGTTGAAAAGTAATGATACACAAATTGGGAATAAAAGGGAGTGAATAGCGACATAGTAAGTAATACTAATACTAATACTAATAATAATAATAATAATAATAATAATAATAATAATAATAATAATGTAAATTGTTTGCTTCTAGTAGGAGCGAGAATAGTATTGTCAGTAGAAATCGTCATTTCATTTATTTGTGTGTGGGATTTGATACTGCCCGGGTGTCCAAACTGAAGCAGTTGGTTTTCTTAGGGGACCGCACCGCGAGCCTTTGTCTTAAAGGTCTGATCCATAAGGCAGTGGAGCATCGTGAGGAGATGCAGTCCCATGGTAGCCGGTGACCAACGATTGGTTCATATGCCATTTGTTCCTTCAGGATACTGGAGCCCATGTGCACCACTGGTTTGGAATCAGGGTTTTCCAACTCTCTTAGTTGAACGTTCCGTGTCCACCAACCCGGTTAAAGCGCCGGACATTCGCTTTTCGTCCTCTCACTTTAGTGAACAACACCCCCGCCACGAGAAGGCAGTGAGTAGGACTTCCCCGGCAGAGGCTATATATTCGCGTGGCCATGTGAGAGCATTTCGAGAGGGAGAGCGGATTCTCCTCACTCTCGGCCGTACCATGGCATTTGGGGGCAAATAGGAACAATAACGGGTTGGACTTGCATGCATATAGCAAACAATTCTCTTTGAACCCAGCACACAACAATACTGTCATGCACTGTCCCATCGCCCTTGGCAGAGCAGGCAACCCGAAAGTCACGAGAACACCATCAGGGCATACGACATGCTCGGTACTGCCATAGAAATAAAATTGTCAGGTCAAGTTGTATGTTGATTGTCCTTTGGTCTTTATGTGAATAAAACGTGCTGTTAGAAAATAATATTTGTTGATAACAATAGCATTTTCTTAATCTTACTCAAAGAATCCATCTTGAAAACCACAGTGATAGAATTAGCTCAGATTATTTTATTTCTGTTAGGCATCACTACTGTTCCTCGCTATTTATTCACATACATTCTATAGTGTAATTCCTGTTTCCTTTCCTTTCTAACCGTTACATTATGATTATTACTTTAGGCGCATTGCTCTGAAGGCTCTAAATGAACGCCTCATAAAAGCTGGTGTTTCTTCAAGGGCAGCAAATGAAGTCGAATGGCCAAGCTTGGTCGATCCTGATGACACACAAAAGCCGGATAACATTCCAAATAAATCCAGTGTCATCGTTGAGTTGCCAACTATTATTAATCCCTCAAGTATTGATACTTTAAACACATTGAACTCATCTAATGTGTGAACTTCGAGCTAAGGAGATAGTTTTTGTACAATTTATTTATGAGATTCCAGGTTTTGTACCATAGTTTTGACTCATTTTGTTCTCTTTGTTCATCCAATAACTTCTTTACCCATAGTTTTTTATATTATAAATTCCATTCATTGAAACATAAAGTTATGTATTTAATTATTAGCTTAAGAATCTTTTTGCTTGTGTTATTTTTATGATTTTTAATTCAAATTTTTGCTTCAGTGACCTTATCAGGCTCACTAAAGGGACAATAGCAGTAAATAAAACTGCTAACGGTGGTCGAGATGTAGAGTGGAATCCAGTAACTTGTTTTGATTTATTCAGAATGAAGAAATATATCAACTGCATTACGAATTGGTTTTGAGTTGTTTCTGTAACAAAGGTAATAACTTGTTCTTCCTGTCATTACGGCTTTATTATGACTAGCCTATGCTTCCCATCTCTAGACATGATACACCGCTCTCCTAGTGTGTTTTGTTACTAATGTCGAGTCTATTTTCATGGATATTTGATGAGCTAATGTAATTTGTCGTTGCCTTGTCAACTATAGATTCACTGTCCAATCATCTAAGTCTCTCCTCTTGCAGGCAACTTAGTTGAAATTATGTTCCCACTCAATCAATATAGATGGTATATGTGGGGAGGTATAGAATTCTTCAGTGGTGTTCTCTGATAGTCATTGGAGACGTTTCGGAACTGCTAAGAGTAGATAACGCTATCAAAGCTTCATTCACTTGCAATCTGACAGTCATCGGTTTGATCCTTATCTAGAAACTGAGGTATGATTGTTATCGCAAAGCGTCTGAAAATCATTTTGGTGTTTCTTCAGATGTCGATTTCGTTTTCTATGTTGAGCGAACTCTTAGATAGCTTGAGTTATGTTGGTAGATTATATTAAATGAAACACTGTATCTCCTCATTTTGACAATTTTGAATTGCAAGATTAAGAGGATCACAAAACTTAAAACTTTCCTTCTCAAACCATAAATTAGGAAGCTGATAGACCACAGACTAATTTAATCCATCTTATTCGATAATTTGCAGCTAACTTAATATATTTTCTGTATTCTCCACATAACGTAACCAAATTACTCATACAGAGTACTATCATCTGGTTAAATGATGTGTATAATTTTTATTGCCTTTTTCAAACTTCCCTTTATCTTTTAGAAAATATATATCTCAAGTGGGTCTTAGGAGGTTTTGACAAATATTAATCTTCAAGCTAAATGACTAAATTTTGCTCGGCATTCCGTTAAAATTTGCTTTCTGCGTGAACTAGAATATTACAGACTCACATTCTACACAACCCATTTTTATTTGACTCTTGTAGTGGCGAATTTCGTTCTCAGAATGCACACATAACAAAACGTAATTTTTATTATTCAACTCTAAAAAAGTAGTTGAAGCTGTTTTGACTTGTGATACTAGTGTAACTTCTAAGGTTCTGTACTTTTAACCGGGAAGTTAGAAAGTAAAGTTTGGGAAAAATTCAAAATTTGCTATTTTTTTTAACAAAAATTATACAATAGCTCGTATATCATGTTATGACGATGTAGATGTAATATCATAATTTTTTCCGAATATGATCTTCAGCATCATGATTCGAGAATGTTTCCGATACTCAATTGTGTTTTGTGATATATTGAATAATAATTGCCTCTACATTTTGGAATGCCATTTTACTTTTTCAAACGACTTTTGTCCATAAACATGCGTGGAATTGAGTGCGAACTCAGACATGGGATTTAACTTCATTGGTTTTTTTCTTACGTCCGGGTAATGCAAGTATGTATCCATACTTGATTTGACTTCACAAGACGAAAGCAATGTTGATTCTGTGTTGCCAGTAGTCAGTTTACAAGAGAAATTATTCAGTCTAGCCGTATGATTACTGGATCTATACCTTTCGGATTCAGATCTTGCTGCAAATAAAAGGTGAAAAACAATATTAAAATTACAACAGTATCTTTCTCAAGATATAGTCATGTGTATATCATACTACAATATATTAATTTGCTGTAAGATAAGATAGCAAAACTATTCAAGTAATTTGATCGCAGACTGGGTATGTATCAGATTATGGTTATACATAATGTTTACCCCAAACGTCACAATTATCTCATTTCTTATATGTCAGGAAGGAGTATTTGTGACTTATTTTAAACTCCCTATATATTTATTTAATCTTTGCTTTTGATTATTGTGTGAAACTGTATTTCAAAGTAATTACACGTACATCAGTGGTACTTATGAACTTTGAACTGTGTTTAGTACAATAAAAAAAGACTAGTATCTTTCTCATCATCTTGTGGATAAAAATGTATGTAAAATTGATTTCCTGTCTTGTTTTTATCTCCTGGTACTATTTAGGAGAAATTTAAGCATTTAAAAGTTCCTGATCTCAAAATCCATTAACCTTCTAACCAATCTAAACTTAGCAGGATTATGTAAGTGCATATCAGTAAGCATATCTCTAGTTTCTGCTTAATCATTGATAATCTCGTGCTTTTAGTTCTTCTATCAAATACTATTCGTATGACAAAGATTCCCTACTAATAGTTAAAAAATTCAAACAATCAACGTTTCACTTTTCTTTTGCTAAATGAAGGGTATTACTCAAACAACATACATTCTTAATTTTGTAATGTAAAGTGAATTCACACTATTTCATCATAATTTACAGGTGCGTAAATTTGTCAACTAATGTCTAGAACATTTACGCAGTTTAATTTGATTCCGAATAAACAAAAGTCAAGGAAATATGATGGTCCGTCCGTTTTTTCTACTCAAATTCTTGGAAAGATAGTACTATTCCATGATAAAGCTGATCACGTTAATCACTGAGTAGCTGTTGTTGAAGTTGCGAGCAACAGATCATACAACTTACTGATCGTTTTTTGTGTTAGCGCCACGGTTGTTCCTGACTTTATTAGTGGAGAACTTTAGTTAGAGTAACTTAAGACTGTTGCTCTTCATGGGGGAACTTGAGCCACCTCCAGCACTCTCCATCCAACACTATCCCGGCAAATCCTTTCCAGTTGCTATTCTTATGATGTTTGCTTCCAATTCTCGGTCTTGGTCTTTCTCTTTTCCCCTCAGGATCCCATGTTTGCGCTTGTCTTGTGATGCATTCTGACGATTTCCTCAATGTATGTCCTATTCACTTCCAACGTCTTTTCACAATTTCCTCCTCAACTGGAAGCTGGTTTGTTCTCTCCCACAAAATGCTGTTGCTGACGGTATCCGGCCATTAAATGTTGAGTATTTTGCGTAGACAACTGTTTGTAAATACCTGTATTTTTCTGCTGATGGTTTTGGTAGTTCTCCACGTTTCAGATCCATACATTAGGACTGTCTTGATGTTCGTATTGAAGATTCAGCTTTGATATTGGTTGATAGTTGTCTTGAGTGTCATAATTTGTTCAACTGTGAGAATGAGGTCCTTGCTTTGCCAATCCTTACCTTTACGTCTGTATCCGATCCTCCTTGTTTATGGATGATACTGCCCATGTGCGTGGAAGTTTCCACCTCTTCCACAGTTTCGCCATCAAGTGTGATTGGGTTGGTGTTCTCTGTGTTGTATTTGAGGATCTTGCCTTTCCTTTATGTATGTTGAGGCCTACTGATGCGGAGGCCTCTACTATACTGGTTGTCTTGACCTACTTTCATTCGTGTTTATGAAATAGAAGGGCAAGGTCATTAGTGAAATCTAAATCGTCTAATTATATCCAAACTATCCGTCGTATTTCGTGCTTCCCCTCAAGTGTGGAGGTTCCATTTAGCTACAGTATGAATTTAAAAGTAAAGCTAATGATTGTATCTTTCAAAACTGATTGAATTTTCCAAATTAGTTCATAAATCATGTTAAGCATTTTAATACCATTTGAATTCTGAATAAAGGTTATTCATAGTTCATGGGAAATCCTAGTATTAGAAAATTTTACTTATTCCTCATTATTTTAGTCGACCGTAAATACTCTAATTAGTCTTATCAAACATTCTAACTATTAAAATGTTTTAAACTTGTTTCAATTTCAGTGACTTACACTACAGACATTTACATTAACGACGATTACTGAAAGTCATCGAAACTTGATAAATAATAACTATTGGTAACTATACAAAAGTAGAGTATCCAAAAATGGTGTAATAATTCTCACATTTTAGACTTTTGTTCAATATGACTTTCACCTTGTATGTTATCAAACAGGACAGGACATAAGATATGAGCGACTATTTGGTAGCTTATTTTGAGGAAATCTTGTTTTTTATGGTTCTCCATTCCTAATTATGTTATCTGCTGAAAATCTTTGGTTACTGAAACTGGATTGATAGACTACCAGGTCTTTAGCTGTGTAATATGGATAGGTCTTTAACTATAATAACAATAATACCAAGTTACCTGCGTTACGTAATATTTGATCTGCACGTCGGCTTGAGAAATAATTACTTTGTATCCGATCATCTAGTTTAGCGTACAGTCTAGATTCTTTTTTACTGGCCCATTTCAAATCTTTTATTACATCACATTCTGCGTTACCATCTGTGGTTTCATAATTTGAGTCATATCGATTAGACGAGTTGTTTAAATTCGCTGAAGGCAATTGTGTATGTTCAATGACCATTTGTGGTAGAATCCATTCATTCTTTTCGGCATCAAATCTATTTTTGTTTTATAAAAAAGTATATTTGGTGCACTCCAAACTTAACTTCAAAAGAACATAAAATATTGGATGAATAAGTCGAAAATAAATACAGTCACTTTGGACAGGAATTTATTGTATTTTTTAAATAGTTGGATTTCAAGAGATACAATTGATTCATGAATTCTTTTAGAAATTTATGTAAGTTTCCTATGTCCATTTCGATTTCAGTAAGATATAAGTTTACTGTGAACATCCATAAGCATGCTATTGATAATATGACTAAAGGGTTAATTGAAAGATAAAATATATACCGATAAAAACTGTTTTATGGATGGACAAAGGCCGATAGATACACTGAAACTGAGAAGTCTATAGTGAACAAAGACTTGATGATGACCAATTTATTGTTCGATGACAAGTCATACAGTGCTTTATTAAAGTATGGAAATCATGCATTAAATGCATCGTTTGCACATCTTTAAAGTGCCTCTTACAAACTTTATCATTCCTTCATTCTTGTTGTTAATTAGATTGCTTTCGGTTTTCTTCTCTTGCTTTCCCTTCCTGTTCTCTTCAATTCAATCTTCTGCTGCCAGGCATTCACTCCCGATTGGTGCTACATGCTACTTATACCTGTCAGCATAAGTAGGATACACTACGAGTCATGAAATAAGCTACTTGAGCTCAAGTAAATACAAATGCTAGGATCATAGTCGACAAGGCGTTGTTTCCTTAGGACTGTCTTGAATTGGTGGCACTAACCATTCGTAAGAATACTGAGAGGTATTAATTAAGCTTAAAGTTCTAGTTATTTTTGTAGGTTATGTTCTCCTGAAAAATAATTAACTTAGAAGAACACCAACAGAAAAGATTACGTAAAAATCTGTTAGCTCAAGTTGGATTACTTTAAAATAACAAGGATTGAACAGTATCTGTTGCAACAAGAAAACAACGAATATCCAGTGAGAATGGTCAAGATTTGAAAGAAGCAAACTGAGTCTTTTGCTTATTATAGTCGGTTTTGAGTTGGCATCTAGTCTTTAGTCACTTGTATCTATCATCCAAAGGACCCCACTTGAGATCTTACAACTCCCTATATAACTTGCATCAACGGTCCTGGCAGTCAGAAGGTCTTCATTTAGAAGAGCTATGACGCCTCATGGTGAAAACCGAGATCCTTCAAAAGTCACGAGGCTGATCCCCCTTCTGACAACCAGAGTAACCACTTATCTAGGTACATAGAATGCTCGTACAGTGTGAGAGACCGGGAGAGTCTTCCGAATTGCTGCAGAAATGAGGAAATACAACCTGGAGGTGCTTGGGATCAGTGAAACACATTGGAAGCAGGTTGAACAACAACGACTATCTTCAGGGGAGTTTCTGTTATACTCCGACCATGAAGAAGAAAATGCCCTACATACACAAGGAGTTGCATTGATGCTGTTCAAACAATCACAAAATGCACCTATAGGATGGGAATCTCATAGACCAATGATCATCAAAGCCTCTTTCAAAACAGAGAAAGAGGGCATTACAATGAACGTCATCCTGTAGTAACAGTTTATATGTCAAACCCATATACTTCATTCTAGTTACTGGCCAAGCCAATTCGCCTATCCATTATGAGTCATATTTTGATCTTGTTAATTATTCGCTTATTAACCTTGACTATATTTTCATATGAGCGTATATGTAAGCGCACTTCGTATCTTATCCATCATATGTCTGTCATTCACTTTTGTTTGATTATAAATATTGAGTAATGCTTGCTCATAGCGTGTTGGCATTCCAGCCATCTCCATTGCATATCATTTTCGCTTCGTTTGCTTTTATTCGCTTCATCACTCTGATTCCCTGGCCAGATCAATGATTGTAGAAATTATATGTATCCTAAATCCATTCTCGTATTTGATTTATTTAACTCCGTTATCACTAACGCGGATAAAGTCATTTTATTACATACGAGGATAGACAGTACGTACGATCAAAAACGAATCAGATTTACGCCGCAACAATCCAATGCTATGCGCTTACCAACGACTACAATCAAGACGTCAAACATCAATTTTACGATAGGCTGCAGTCAATCGTCTAGAAGTGCATAACAAAGGACCTGACCATTCTGATGGGAGATTTAAATGCCACGATTGGAATGGACAACACCGGATATGAAGACATCATGGGACGACATCGACTGACTAGGAGAAAGGAACGAACATGGTGCGAGATTTGCAAACTTATGTGCCTTCAACAAACTGGTCACAGGCGGCACTATATTCCCACACAAACGCATACACAAAGTCACATGAACTTCACCGGATCACACTACGCAGAACCAGATCGACTATATCTGCATCAGCAAAAGGTTCATGAGGACGATGGAGGATGTGAGAACTAGGAGAGGAGCTGACATAGCATCAGACCATCACTTGCTGGTCACCAAGATGAAGTTAAAACTTAAGAATCACTGGACACTGGGGCGGATAACATCACAAAAGTTTGATACGGCTTTTCTTCGGGATACTGACAAACTCAACAAATTCAAGGTGGTCCTCAACAACAAGTTTCAGGCCTTTTATCAGCTAATCAATGGAGAGGGATCTACTATGGAGAGATACTGGAAGACGATAAAAGAGGTAATCACTTCAACATGTCAGGAGGTTCTGGGCCACAAGAAGCATCCTCACAAGGAATGGATCACTGTTGGTACATTGGATGAGATTGAAGAAAGGAGGAACAAGAAGGCAGCAATCAATACTAGTCGAACAAGAGCAGAAAAAGCCAAGGCATAAGCCGAATACACAGAAGTAAACAAGCAAGTGAGGAGGAGCATCAGAACCGACAAACGTAAATATGTGGGAGATTTAACAATGACGGTGGAAAAGGCTGCAAGAGGCGGAAACATGAGACAATTGTATAATACAACAAAGAAACTCGCTGGAAATTACCGTAAACCAGAACGACCAGTGAAAAATGAGGAAGGTAAGGTAATCATCAACCTTAAAGAACAACGAAACAGGTGGGTAGAACACTTCAAAAAACTTTTGAATCGATCAGCTCCACTGGACCCACCCAACATCGAAGTAGCACCCACGGACCTCCCAATCGATGTTGGCCTGCCAACAATTCAAGAGACCAGCATGGCCATCAGACAAATTAAGAGCGCGAAGCAGCAGGACCAGACACCATTCCAACAGAGGCACTGAAAGCAGATGCAGCAGCAACTGCAAGGATACTCTACATTCTCTTCAGTAAGATTTGGGATGAAGAACAAGTACCAACACACTGGAATGAAGTATTTCTGATCGATATACCAAAGAAAAGCGATCTCAGCAAGTGTGATAACTACAGGTGCATCACTCTTCTCTCAATACCAGGAAGAGTCTTCAACAGGGTATTGTTAAACAGAATGAGGGACTCCATAGACGCCAGACTTCGAAATCTACAGGCTGGATTTCGTTAGGATCGATTGTATACAAACCAAATCGCAATTCTACGGATAATTGTGAAACAATGAACTGAACGGAATTCATCACTCTACATCAACTTTATCGACTACGAGAAAGCATTTGATAGCGTGAACAGGATGACACTATGGAGGCTTCTTCGACGCTACGGCATGCCTCAGAAGATAGTCAATATCATACGGAATTCTCATGATGGATTAAAATGCAAAATCGTGCATAGAGGACAGTTGACGGACTCGTTCGAAGTAAAGACCGGTGTCAGGCAAGGTTGCTTACTCTCACCCTTTCTCTTTCTCCTGGTCATCGACTGGATCATGAAGAATTCAACATCTGGAGGAATGCACGGGGTACAATGGACAGCTAGGATGCAGTTGGACGATCTAGACTTCGCAGATGATATGGCTCTTCTATCACACACGCAACAACAAATGCAGGAGAAGACCAGTGTAGCAGTAGCCTCAGAAGAAATAGGTCTCAACACACAAAGGGAAAAGCAAGATTCTCCGATACAACACAGCATACATCAATCAAATCACACTGGACGGAGAAGCTTTGGAGGATGTGAAAACCTTTACATATCTGGACAGCATCATCGATGAATACGGTGGATCTGATGTGGATGTGAATGTGCGGATCGGCAAAGCAAGAGCAGCATATTTACAACTGAAGAACATCTGGAACTCAAAACAATTGTCAACCAACACTATGACCAGAATTTTCAATACAAATGTCAAGGCGGTTCTACCGTATGGGGCGGAGACGTGGAGAACTACGAAGGCCATCATCCAGAAGATACAAGTGTTAACAGTTGTCTATGCAAAATACTTCGGGTTCGTCGGCCAGATACTATCAGCAATAACCTACTGTGAGAGAGAATAAACCAGATTCCAGCGGAGGAAGAAATCAAGAAGAAGTGCTAGAACAGTGCTAGATAGGACACACATTGAGGAAAGCACTCAACTGCGTCACAAGGCAAGCCCTCACATGGAATCCTGAAGGTCAGAGGAGAAGAGAAAGACCAAAGAACACATTACGCCGAGAAATGGAGACAGGCATGAGAAGAATGATCAACAATCGGATAGAACTAGAAAGGAAGGCCCATGACATATTGGTTTGGAGAATGCTGGTCGGCGGCCTATACTCCATTGGGGGTAACAGGTGTAAGCAAGTAAGTAAGGCTGCATTCAGTCGGACGCTAGTCTTTGAAGACTAGGATATCTTCCTGTAGAAGCACAGAGAATGAGAAGCTTCCTACTCTTAAGCTTAATGTCGATCCAGAGCAGTTGTTGGGTACCGTCTTACATCTGACAAGTGATACATGGTCTTGTTTAGATCTGCAGTTATTCCTCTTAAAAGTTACTTCATATAAATATGTGAAAAAACTCCACACTTACTTTGCTGTTCGTTTGATTTTGTCGATGTTGTAATAATTGCTATCTCTGCGTATGAAGGGCTGAACCTTTTCTAAAATCATATTAAGCAAATTTATTTGTTGTTCTTGGCGTCTGATAGTTTCCAAATGGTCACTTCGATCTTGTTCAAATTCAGACTGAACGTCTTTAATTTCCATTTGTAATTCATGAACCTGCACATAAAAACGGAAGGTATGAAATAAGTTTTAGGTGAAAAGATGTATGTCTTTTTATTTGTTCAGTAATTTACTAAAATATTGGAGTTTAAGCAGTCTATGAAGCAATTAGGAAACAATATTTTTTATACAATCAACAGTAATACCAACTTGTTTTTGAAAGATGTGCTTTATAATATGGGACTAATTGTTTAACATTTGGTTTATAGATGGGCTAAATGTTCACGCTTCATGTTCTAGAACATTAGGATACTTATTGACTACTAATCATAATTATATTTCCTGACCTTAGGGCGGTGTTCGACTCTGTCGACTAAAAGGCGTTTCAGTAAAAGCCATACCAAAGAAATACATCAGCCTAGTGAAAGCTCTCTACTCAAACACTACTAGTTGAATCAGAGCTTATGGGTATTAGTTATCAAAATTGACAACATCAAATGGTGTTCGTCAGAATTATTCCTTACTCCCTATTTCGTCACAGTTGATCCCCCCAAAATAAAACATTTCTCATCCAACTTTTGAGGAATTGATCTTCCTAATGGAAACTCAGTATTCGATGATATAGTCCTATTGGATAAAGATATTAATACATAGCCTCATGAACACCTTGAGTAACAAAGTAAGCATAATTGTAATGCGTTTTCCTCCTTCTGAATACAAAATGTTGCTTTAAAGTATAACTTCCCCTAATGCATTGCTATCTGATGAAATCATGGTATAGATTCATGAAGTTCAATTGGTCCTTGCCAACTTGTGGTGTAGGGGAGTTTCCCATCTGTGAACTAAAAGATGAATTTAATATGCAGCCATCCTCTCTGTAATACTCAATGGTAGTGAAAAAAGAGAACATACGTGGGCTTAAGGTTTGTGATCATAGGTGCTTTCGAAGCGTGCCTCGAATATAGTGAGCACTGCTGCGTTGAGGCATAGAATATAAGGCCAAAATAGTGGCTATGTATGAGTCATTCTGATGTATAGAGATTACCTGACTGGGGTCCGAAAGATAACGGCGATTAATAGTTAAAGATGTTGGATGACATGGCTCAGAATTGATCACAATAGCACAGGTGCATCTTGCTCTACGTCTTGAGTCTAAGTATTACTTTGTGTGTACACGTTCATTCCTCCTCAATGTTAAGTCTTTCTCACTGTCACTGTTATTACGATTGTTTCGAATCCTTTGATTTTAATTTGGTTAAGTACATCTCTTAGTGGTAATGTGGTATGGGGTTTGGTGTAACACACATTTGTGTTAGGCTCTATGTTCATTACAACTATCTAATCCAACATGTAATTTTACTACAACAGCTCATAATGTTCTTAATCTTCAAACTTAGTTAACATACTGGAAATATATCTATACGTAATAAATGATAGCACCATAAGTCTCCATGTTCCATTGTATATCAGGTGCATTCATTTACAACCGGATAAATGATTGTATATCCAGGAAAGAGGGAGACGAGAAAAATAATAAGGAAATATGCTTTCATTACTGAATAATATTATTGATATGGAATGTGTATCGTGTTGATAATCTCATGGTGAATTTTCAACCAAAAGAATATTACCTTTTGTTTTTGTGACTGTAGAGCTTTATTTTTGTAATATAGTTCATCTTGTATTGTTTCATAAATATTTATCATTATTCCATCATCTTCTAGGTCTGCATTTGCTTCCATTAATCGACGTTTTCGTTCTTCAGCATATTTTTTTCGTCTTGATATTTTCTCGTTGACCTCCTTATTTCCAGCTTGCTCACCACCGACAATATCTGCTTCCAATAGTTTCAACCTGTTGAATTAATCAAATAAGTTATCACCAGATAGCAGCTCGTTATTTTCTTAAAATTTTTAAAGTATGTTCACTTTCATCAAATATAGGAGTTAAAATCTCACTAAATTACTTATTTACGCCTGTTGCTCTTCAAGGAGGAACATTGGTGAATGATTCTGCTCATGTACGTGGAAGTTTCCACCTCTTCCAGTGTTTCTCCATCAAGTGTGACTGGATTGATGTTCTCAGTGTTGTATTTGAAGGTATGGTTTCATCCTCAACAATATACACATTATTATTTTTCCCGGTGAGGGATGATTGAAATGTACAAGAAACTGAAAATTTAAATAATTAGATTTACTTTATTTACACTAATTAATGTATCTTTCATATTTTATCTACATATGTTATTCTTTACAAAGCCTACTGTAACTGTATTTAGGCTTTTTATTGCATATTGTTTTTTTCCACAATGAACCAATTACTTTATGCTGTAAGCTAAATTTAAGTAATTAGATAAGTTTTACGTTTGTTCCCATTACGTGCTATGATTCTCAATGTGTGAGTTGGTTGGAAAACAGCTAAAGATGGTCAAACCAAGATACGGAATGAATCCATGGAGTCACAGATAAATGGATTGGTTGATACTTGATTAATAAGCTCAACGAGTAGTTAAAGACCTTAGATGTAACATCAAGAAATCACCGTCAGATTCTCTAATTTATTTATTCCCCGTTTTTCATTGGATCTTGACCTAAACATTTGCAACTTATATTATTGATCTCACTATTTTTTTGAAATGTATCCTCTATGTTTAGTCTCTTATTATCATTGATGTTTCTTTGCTATAAACCTTATCAGTTTATTCTCACTGTAACTGACGTGACAACCTAATTTGATACAGATGTATTTCAGGTCCTGTGTTGTTTACGTCTCACTGAGTTTTTCTTAAGGTTATCATGTTTTAGGGTTTTTCTGGTAACGCTTTAAGGTGTTTAAAGTAAATCATAAGGTAGATACATAAACATCGAAGAAATGATCACCCTTCCAAACTAGAAAATTAAATATTAGCCTACTGAAGCTCATTGATAAACCAGTCGTATAATTGATCCAAAGAGAAAATAATACACAAGAGAAATGAAATGACAGATTAGTTCTAATAATAACAAAACGAATAGAATATCGCTTATGTAATTAACTGGACAAATTGAATGAAATTTATAAACAACAGACCTTTGCAGTAGTTCATCTTTTGTTATTTCCCCATCATATGTATCAATACGTAAATTAGTGTCGTTTTGTGATACAATTTGTTGTTGGGTCTTATCGTCTGATATTTCTGACAACTCTTCCATTTGATCTAATTCTGTTATATGAGGTGCTACATAAATTAGAAGAAATAACAAGGTGAAGGGATATGCATCTTTGAAGAGATGATTACTGAGTCATAAATTCAAAGTGGGTTAACTTTTACATTGACCTAAATAATAAGGTGTACATTGAAAGTGAATACGAGTTTCACTTTAATTAATAAAAGACTGGTATTTTCTAAATAACAAAACAGAATAAATATTTCTAGAAAGTTAAGATATTAGACACTCCTGCTTGTTTCCAGTTCCTGCCCTCACATAGTTGAATAAATTGACACAGGTGTTAGAAAGTTGGATGCTACTTGGAGAACTACAAAATAAACGGAAATTAGTGAGGTTTAGTAGCCAAAATTAAAATTTTTGAGAGAAGTAAACTATGAAATTCATTTGTTTGGTGTAATGCTGGCTGATTTTGTTTATTCAGTTCAGTAAAATAGTGATAAAATATGTAACCATGTATTTACAACCTAAATAAGTCTTTTGAATTGTGTATCTGGTATTCACACATGCAGTTAATTTAACCATAACTGTTAGCCTGAGACTAATTATTCATCCTAAGTCAAGAGATATTTGTTACCGAAGACTGACTCAGCTGTGGCTGAACTACAGCTATTTAACGTTTTGTATATATGTATTTTCATAAGCTTTAAAGAGAATGTTGGCTGCATCGCGAAATCGATCAACTTCCACACAAATTACGATTGTTCAAGCAGAGAGAAACCAAAATGCAAAAAGGTTTAGGAAGATGGTTGCATGATAATTGTTGCAGTGGAAAAACTTGCGTGCACGGTTTTGAGATGAGGATTATTTGTTGTATCTCAAGGTGAGAGCCCCATCTAGTATGTAAAAGCATATTACACCAATTAGATAGATACATTTGTAAATAATCATTTTTAAGTGTGATCGACATTTAGAAAGTTGACAGGCTCAGGTCATACTTTGCAAAGGCTATATATATATATATATATATATATATATATATATATATGCCCTGTGATACATTTCGACGATTTCCTCACTTCCAACGTCTTTTCACAATTTCCTCCTCAACTGGAAGCTGGTTTGTTCTCTCCCACAAAATGCTGTTGCTGACGGTATCCGGCCATTAAATGTTGAGTATTTTGCGTAGACAACTGTTTGTAAATACCTGTATTTTTCTGCTGATGGTTTTGGTAGTTCTCCACGTTTCAGATCCATACATTAGGACTGTCTTGATGTTCGTATTGAAGATTCAGCTTTGATATTGGTTGATAGTTGTCTTGAGTGTCATAATTTGTTCAACTGTGAGAATGAGGTCCTTGCTTTGCCAATCCTTACCTTTACGTCTGTATCCGATCCTCCTTGTTTATGGATGATACTGCCCATGTGCGTGGAAGTTTCCACCTCTTCCACAGTTTCGCCATCAAGTGTGATTGGGTTGGTGTTCTCTGTGTTGTATTTGAGAATCTTGCTTTTCCCTTTATATATTTATATACTTTCCTACCACCAAAGTTTCAAATTCTTAGGTCGTTACTATTAGTTGCTCAGCAACCTAATTATTCTCTTAAGTTGATTTATTTGAATATTTCTGTAGATTTCATGTTTCCCTGGTAATTTCGTGAGGTTAACCTCTTTATTCTTACTAATCTTTGCAATTTAAAAGTATTAGTAATATGGAATTAACTTAATTTGCGGCATATTAATATTTCAACAGTTTACTTATTAAAATAATTAATTATTATTTTTGCTAATGTTAACAATGAAGTCTGTTCATTCACGGTCACAGTAGAATAATTTACATAGCATCAAAGTTTCAACTGTTGGTATTCTGTGCGACTTGTAAATTAAGAGTAATTCTATGATTGATTAAGTAAACAAAGTCATTTGAAACAGTATAATGGTCAACAATAGAGATAAAACGTGGAATTTCAAGCTACTCATGACAATGAACAGCAGAAGTGATTCACTTATCATAGAAGTTTGTTGAAAATTCATAGAAAAAAATGGGCGAAATATCTACAATTCTACCGATATACTGACTAATAGAAGGTTATCAATTTGACACGACTATCAATTCGTCACGATAATAACTTAAATATGCAAAAATTTAAAATTATTTATGAACAAACTTTTCTAAAATTGTGAAATAATTTTTAAACTTACGCTGATTCGTTGATGATAGTAAATCTTGATGACTATTCAATTGCACAAGTTTGGCATCATATAATTCTTTTAAATGGGTTATATCCTTCAGCATATCAACTTTATCAACTGTTTCAGCACTATACTGGGCTTTCGTAGCTAGTAATTTTAGTTCATAATCCTGTATTAATAAAAAAGCTAATATTACAGTGTTAACATTAATTTAGATGGTTTTACTTCGAGAACAAGTTCAAAGGAAATAATTGGAAAATCTTCGAAATTAATACTAAATGTTTCTGATATATACTAATTTAGAGCTTTCGAACTTGTTTAAAAGCTGACTTCTACGTGAAGCAAGTATAATAATAATGTTTGGAACGATAATTAAGGCTTTACAATTAAACCATTCAAATCATAGAACACAACACCTAAGTGTGATAGAAATTTTTAAAACAAAAGACGGAACAAAACCTCATTTGGTTTAAGATTTTATTAGTCTGTTGTGCGATTATAGCAAAACAAACTGAAAATCGATCATTATTCATAGAGAAATTGAATTATATATAAACCACTAAAATTTTGCATCATTTAGATTACTTACACTTATTTACAATGTACTTACTGTACGCTACCTGCGGAGGTATTAATTTGCAAAAAAATATTATATAAAATAATTGACAAAGCTTACTTTTCTTAATTTTTCTTTCTCAGTTTCAGTATCCTCTATTTCAATATTTTCTTGGCCATTGAAATATTTAACATTTCCTGTAGTTAACTGCATATTATTTAGCAATTCTTTAAGATACTTGATTTCTTCTTGATATTGACGAAGCAGCGCATCTTTTGGATCTTCATTGATCTTGGGTTTATTACGTATATTTTTTGCTCGATTAGCATATCGTAAAGTACTCAATGTTTCGTCATAGTTATTGTCTGCTGGTGACAAGCACGCTATCATAAGAGTTTTTGTATTTCCTCCCAAAGAATCCTGTTTGAGCAGTTGTAAATTAGGAAACGAAAGTTCGATTGCCTGATGAAGATATCCTGGTAAAGTTTGTAAATATGTGATGAAATACCAAGTGCTATTGATTGAAGTAATTCTAAGGGTACCAGTTACTATATGTATGCTAGTTTATTAGATATAGACACGTTGACAAGTTGGGTTATTTTTAAAGGTACTTAATTACTTAAAATCTAAAGAGTTTATATCAAGTTATTTTATCCAGTAGATGAATAGCGAAACTAAGTAGATTTTAGGGATTATCCCGCATACAAGTGAGCTGCTTGAGTAGCTAAACGTGAAGCTGAGCCTAATTTAAATATATTTAGGGGGGAAACGATTACGAATCTCCCTAACGTAAAAGGTTCATCTGACTAAATTCTTTCAACTAAAGTCATGACCTAATTTATAAATTCCTCAACATCCATTAAATAATCATAGAAATGAAGAAGGCCGATGTTTCTATTTCCTATGGAGAAACATTTTAGTTGACAACTTAATAGATCCAACACGTGTTGATGTAGGGTTAAAAACATAAACGTTCAGTTAAGTTGTATGATTCACTGCTTTGTACGATCACCATCCTCAACAAATATTAACAGGAGTTTCTGTGATAATAGTGCTCAATCTTATGTTTGTCCTCATTTAACCATGTGGTTCAGCTTATTAACTTTGATAGTTGATATATGTCAATGTATGTAGTTCGTATTGGTCACGGATTGATAAAAGTTGAGGTACCGTTGAAAATTAGGCAGGATTAGAAGGCCACTTTGCTTAATTGAGCACTTGGTCAGTAGTTCTGTCTTATGAAATCTTCTCGGTTAAGATATGTGGATTGTTTGCCTGAGCAGATTATTAATTTGATAGCTTTAGTAGTTCAGTTTCTTATCAACTAAATTATTCCATCGACAGTAAGTCCATAAACATCGAGGCAAGAGTTATGTGGTTAATCTGTCTATCCTAATATAACTATATATTGCCCGTATATGGGTCTAAAGTTTTTTGAATGAAATAAATTTTTTTGCCTATTTATCTATGATTTGTTGTTTTAAAATAAGCACACAATTAGTTATTGATATATCCCGCTTTAAATCGTTGAATAATCTTTATAAACAATGTAGAGGATAACATTTTCATCGAGTAAGTTTTGGAATATTTACACAGCATACAAATAAAAAATCGAAATTAATTGGAGATAATCTGTTGCTTCTTTACTATGGTATCGTAAGCGGCCTGTTTAGACCAACCGTTTCTTAATAAATGTTACAATACTTACAAAATGAAACCAGTGCATTATAAAAATAGGAACACTTTTGTAATTAACCGAACATGTATCTTACGGTTATTGATGATAGTATTATCCAGTTTAGCTCTACATACTGTTACGGATATATCTAATAGTTATTTTTATTTTCTTATAAACGTACTTACGGGGAATATCGTGTGATGAGTTAAGGTATAAAAACAGTTACCATCTAGTCAGAAATACCCGATTTCTAACGATATTTAACTTAATCCCACAAAACGTTTCAGCAATTGTCTAAGTTTTTATTATTTGTGAAATATATCTATATTGGCCATTGGTTTTTGACTTGAAATTTCAAAAGTACTTTGTCTGCGGTAAATTATGAAAAGTGATTAATATCAAAAGTCTTCCAAAATATAACTTTTTATGTGATAGAGTTTCTCGTAACATTCAATAGTTAATTGACTTTCATTAATAAAATGTGCTTTATCAAATGTAAATGTATTCATTTGTACAAAGTTAGTGTTAGTGCACAACTCGTACTAAGCAAAACTCTTGTTGTTCAGGTCAAGTATTATGCCTAAATCAGGAGTCATATTTCAGTCATACCAAGTTGTCAAAATAGTCTATATTTCCATACTGAAATAATTAGAACAAATAGAAAGTAAAGTGATTATTTAAAACGGTTTAAATGATACGTTATTCCAATTCTTAAAACTCATCAATATATAGAAATGGCAGCTACTCAAAAGCATGATGTGTATCTTACACAAAAATAATATACAATTATCAGTGTCATCGTTACAACAAAATATAGTATATTTACAATATTCCGCTTAATAGAAAAATGAAGTTATAATATTCCACAAGGTAGTGTACATTGTCTTTTTAGAGAATAAATAGCTTTCCTATGCAAGCTGAAATATTAAGAGAGAAACATAAGCAAACAAGTTTAGGTTCGTAATTATCAGGTTTGTCACGGGTGACCATATATGGTTTTGTTGTTGTGGTGGTGGTTTTCCATGATTTGAGCGAGTCTTCAATCAACGAAACAGTTGAGTTAAACCCTAGTCGATAGGGAAACTCAATGATATGATCTGGCCGAATGATGGCTACTCTTGCACCTGCGTTATTGATTTAAGCACTTGAGTGATTGGCAATCAAAGAAAAGGCCAGTAGCCGGATAAACAGATTTTGTCATAAAATAACATACTTATTTACAGAATATGAACACAAAATAAACCTGATAAAAAGTCACATGTGATTGAAGGGATTTAGTTTGTAGGTCACTCATCCTTCAATTAATTAAGGCCTGATTATTAATTCCCCTTCTTGGGCATCGTATCAGATGTATACCTAATGGGTATTCATATGTATGTGAAAGCATTTGAATAGATGCGAGATAAACGATATGATTAAATGATTAGTTGTATATGTACAACTGTAGCACGGTATTGATGTGGTTGGATATAAGTTAGGAATTGATTACTCAAATCGGTCAGTTAGTAACACCTTTCTTTTTATCAAGTACATTATGATTTATTAAGATGTAAAGTGCACCGATTATCTATATTTATCTATTTATAGTTAGTAAATCTTTTCGAACGAGTTGTAATTGAGAACATCGATGAGGTATTTGCCAAACGTGAGTTTTCACATTCTTCAGGATTATTGAGAAGAGTCTCTGTGTTCTTTGATACAAGATGGGATCCCGCTAAGTCCTTCCTATATAAAGTAAGTTACAATTAACGTAGAATAATCTCCAGATGTCATAACTATTATGATAACAAGTATCTTGTATTCTTTTTGAACCTCAGCATTTCCAAGTGTGTTCGCCGTCTAATAAAAGGTTTTAATTCGGTCCTGTCTTATATTCACGATAATTCCTCAGAAATGAAAGTCATGTACATTTCAGTTCTTATGTTAAAATGAAAACACAGTATATATCAAAGCTAACATGACAGATGATATCAAAAAATATTGTTGGTATCCCAGGGTCGATGTTCACTCTTTGACTCGAACCAAGTGCCTTTCGCTTCAAACACCATCGCGTTATCTATTTAGCCACTGGATAAAGATAGCCACTAGCTTGTGGGAAGATCCAAACGACCGATATATGTGAATTAAAATTCATCCCATTGCACAAGCCAGTTGTTAGCTGGACTCAGTAGCTAAGTGGTAACGCGATGGCGTTTGAAGCTAAAGGTGCTGCGTTCGATTCGAAGAATGAACAGAAACTCTAGAATGCAGGCGTATCCGGCCGACAAGTCCCAAATAAGACTAAACGTACGTACTGGATTCCACTGCTAGCCACCATCCATCTCTGATTATAATACTTATGACTTACTGGTAACATCGAGGCAATCCGCACATATACCCAAAGCGACTGATCAATAACAGTCTTAAACATCAACGGGAAAACCCAAACAACCAATAAATGTGAAACAAGACTAAAACATATTACAACAATAAATTCTTGAAAATATTCAGACTGGATCACAACACAAGGTATGATGTAAATTTCCTGAATAATTAAATATTATTTAGATGAAAAGGTCAGACAGATTCTAAAAAACTATATCTATTTAAGGACTAACCTGTAACAGTCGAGTCAATTTGCTGTCACGGTAAGGTATATGTTTAACTTTAGAATCAACCAACGCTGAAATGACATTACCCAATGCTGATAGACTAAGGTTAATTTTCGTAGCTTCTTTAAAACGATCACCAGTTGCACCAGTTTTTGTCTGTCTTTCAGAACCCGCCAAATCGACTAAATTTAATTTACCAGCCCTTATATGGTTGTAATCAAGTGAATTGTCACTCCGATCAATCATTTCTAAGTAGATAGTGAAAATAGAATGTGATCGACTACTGTCAGCGTTCATTAATGTTGCTCCAGTTGAACGATTTTTCCACCCACGTTCCATTATATTCTGAAATGAAATATAATTTAGACAACTCAATTTCCGGTTATTTTTAATCAGTATGGTTCCTGATCTATGTACCACCTTTCAAAAAGAAATTGTAAAATAGCAGAAGTACTAAATTTTGGATTTATAAAATGTCAGTGTTCATACTAATGAAGATAAAAATGTTATAAGTGGATTGAAAATTAAAGTTTTCCTGAAGATCTCCTATTTACCACAGGTTATGTATTTATATTTAAGATGATAAGTCGTTTAGGATAGACGGTGAACGAATGGCTTGGTAATGAAATGAACTATGAGAAATATGAATGTCAGGATTTATGGATTCATGTTTTCAAAAAAAACTTACTGGCAATGACAAATAATCTAGTTTTAATTGAATTAATATTTCTATATAAAACTCTGTCATCTAGGTACGATTGGAATGTTCAATAAAACAGAAAAATGAATTAATCTGGGACATTTTAGCACTACAATTATGCGTTTGATGATTCTCAATTCAAATGCACATCGATAGTTCAGAAAAAATTTCCACCTTCAACTTGTACTTTATTTTAACATCTGATATCAGCTATTGATAACTCAGTCTCACACGTACACATTATGGACTTTTCATATGTTTTGCATATAACCGACTCATGTTATCCTATTTCCTAAGTTGGCATCTAAATATGATTGGTTTAGCACCACATAGATTAAATTTGATTGGTAAACACTGTATATTTATTTGATGATTTTAATTATTATCCTGAAGAAGTCCAGAAAAGATTTCTGGACAATCCTTTGGAATTAGTTAGACTTAAATCGCTGAGATTAATTCAAACTTAATTTTTACGTATGATGACTTCTCTATTCTCGGCGCCCCAATATTGATAAATATTCGTAGAAAAGGGAATAATTATTCAGTGAATCTTAATAAAGTAAATATGTATTAAAGAAATTCGGCTTCAATAGTTTTGTAATTGACTTGTAGCTATATGCTTTACATACCCAGATACCTCTGATTACTAAGATTGATACGAAAGCAAACGAGTGACGAACTTAATGGGGTGAATTTGAAGTATTCTTTTTATTAACTACGTAGGGTGTTTAAAAACTTTATTTCACATGATTATGTAAAGCTGATACCAACCAGTATTCCAGAAATTACATGGCCCGCAGTTTATTTACTGAGGGTGTAGCATAATTGTGAAGTAGTACGAAACGATTAATACCTAACTGACCAGGGTTAACTGGAATTTTCAGCATTGGAATCTCTGAATTTTTACATAAATCTAATATGTGTATGTAAAATTAAAGGATTTAAGCATTATCATGTCTTTTCTTGAGTTTAATTTAAAATAAACATTTTTCATATCCTGTATTATTAATTGTTTCAGTTATATTATTTTTCAACTAGAAAATTACTAGTTGTATGTAGTAAGCTTTAAGATATTACTTTACATCCGTCGTTAGTTACTATAATAGCCTTTCATTCTCAGTTTTTGGTGCTGTTGTTGTTCTTGAAACACAAACCATTCACACTTTTAGGTATGACTTTCGAAAATCCATTGGGTTAAAATAACTTTTAGTGTTTTTGCTTTGAAAACTGAGACGTAAAATGGTCAAAAGTATAGAGAAAGTTCCGACATTTTTTATTTCAGTTTAAAAAAGGAGTAAAAGATCCATTATATTCAATACTGTTTATTACTATAGCGCTAGCATGAGATATCTAAGTGGCCTGTAGAGCTTTATACTTCTGTAGGGTGCACAAAATCTAATAATTATAAATCCATACCGTGTTTTCAAACATTTATGTAAAATACGACTGCTTATGTTTGTTAATTTTGAATACTTACTATACAAATAGAAGAAAATTCATTGAGTTTAACCTCTGTTTTTTAAAAACCTTCTTGATAAATTTTTAGAAGTCGATAAACTTGTATCAATAAATCATTACCTGACATTCTGCAACTGAAGTTATTTTATGCATTGACAAACCAGCAACGTAGACCCCTTTATCTGGATTCTCCTTTAGCTCTAATTTAGCCTTGTAATCATGTCCCAAGAGGTCACGAATTTCTTCATTGTAAATTTCCAGAAATGATGCGTGGACCAAATATTTTGTCTTCTCACTTACAGACATAGTCTCAAATATTTGATCAAATGCACTGAGATTCAAAAAAATAGAAGCCAAAGTTTACTGTGACATGTTAGTAAGGTATCATCAAAATTCAATAATAAAGATAGGATTGTCATATAATTGACAGTGTCCCTGAGTAGAAATAAAAATGTTATTTCAATTAAAATGCGCTAAAATTGTCCGTTTATTCACTATATTCTGGAGCATATGGTGCAACGCATTCTTTTAAAACTTGAGATGGTCTTCATTTAATTTTATTGTTCGCTAATTCAAATGAAGTTATTTGTTCGAGGTTTAAAAATTATTCAAGCTGAAGGTTATATATTTATTATGCATCACGATGGTTAGATGCAGCTAAATAAGAGCGTGAACTTAAGTGTTAGGCAAAGATAGAAACTACAGATCATGAGAAATCTGTAAGTTTTTCCAAACCGAAAACGGGCTCCATAAAATATTGTACAATTTTGTTACCGATAATTTTTATTGACTTGAAAACAAGATTAGAATGATGAAATTAATTTACAGTACTTGCTGTCGTCGCTGTAACCATTATATATATATATATATATATATATATATATATATATATATCTTAAACCTAAGTACAGCAAATGACTTGGAGGAAAATGAGTTATTTATAGATCCCTTAAAGCATTACATGAAATTTAAAAAATCGAAAAACTTTATTTTGTCTTCAAAAACGTTTTTTGGATTCATTATACTGACATATGTAAACTAAACATAATTGCTTAGATTACCGTGCGTTGGAACACTTTTTCTGTCAAATGTCAATTATTACAAACTTATGATGTATTCTGTACTGACCGGTTCTAAGTGATGAATGAACTTACTCTATTGATAAAATGCTGAAGAAAATTTAATGGTTAACTATTGCTTTAAGTAACCGTATTTTATACAAATGATTTTTCATCGTTAGCGATGTCCAAGACACACTTTAACATGATATAACTGTCCGTTCTTTATCTGCTTTTCGATCTTTAATCTGAATTGGAGAAACTTAGGTGTTACAATCATCCGCAACAGTTATTTATTAGCAGTTCAGAATCTTTTGTATATAACTTTGAAATATGATTAGTGACTACCCTATCTAGTATCCACGTTCCTTTTAAAATACTCAACACCTTTAAGAGCTATAAACTTAAGGACATCGAATTTCTCAATATCAAATGCTTTTCTGGCTCAGCGTGTAGTTTTACTCGAATCAATGAACTGTTTTAACGTGAAAAGAACTTTATATAAATTCTCGTTTCATAACTTAAGTTTAATTACCGGGGGATCACTCCTTTTTGGAATGGTGGCTCAACTACTCCCTGCATAGTATAAGACTTCCCACATCCAGTTTGTCCATAGGCAAAAATTGTGCCATTATAGCCCTCAGTAACTCCTTCTACTAGAGAGTAACATGCATCATTGTATATTTGTTCAGTAGTTGAATTTTCGTCATATGATCCGTCAAAGAAAAATACTTTTGGTGGACGTTTCTTGTCATTTGGGCATGCAATCGAACACTGACCAGTATCACTGATTACCTCAAGAATATTATCACATTTTAGCAATTGTTCACGTTCGTTTAATGGTCGTGCTCTTACAATAACTTTCACAGCTTCTGAATCCATCAATATAGGGAAGTTCACTAATGTAAGATATAAATAAATTTACATATTGCAACCATACCTTTGACAGACTTTTAGGTCCAGGTTTAGTTTTCAGGTACGTTTTGTTCAGTGAATGGGAAGAATGTAATTAAGACGAAAGAAAGTGACTTAATGAGCATAGAGTTGGCCTGTAGCTAACAACGAAAGCAATATCCAGCAACAGGTGATAGTTATGGAGTGAAGTTTGAATCGTTCGACGACGGACACTAATAGTTAATAGTGTTAGCTCTCGATCGCGTTACACTGAAACCATTTAATTAAGCTCCAAGGTCACTGAATAACTTGTTGTTATGGATCTGAAGGTTAAAACAAGATACCGCAAAATGTTTATGGACGGGACAGGTTATTATTGGTACTTCCAGACAGAGGCTTAAGTATAATTAACGAAAATGAATGAAAACGGTATCATCAAATCTTTTTGCCATGCTGCCTTAAGTCATCGATAATTTTGTAACACGTTAATGTAAAACAAGTTAATGTTTGGCCCCTGTTTGTCCACGTTACTACACATTTTCAGTTATTTGGTATCGCCGCTTTGAGTAGTCCAGCTTCACTAGTACTAGTGAATCAGTTGTCTATTATTCAGCGCTGTCACACAATTAAGTGTTTAACGGTATATAAATCCCAAGAGAAATAGTGCTATGATTCTTCGACATTGATAATATTCTCATTAGTTTTCCTGAACGCATCCTAGCTGAAGACTCTCGGCCAAGCATTCTCACCAGATCACGAGTGGATACTCTATATTAGGCATTACCAGCAACTTCTAGCCATCTTGGGCCAGGCGCTTATCGACATATTGATAGCTTTCCAAATATATCTTCGAAACACCTTCATTTCTGACTTCTGATTTGACTGGGTCGGTATACTATGATGTCAGACATGTTACGTGTAAAAACGTTGCCAAACTATGAATATCCGTGACATCTTGAAATGTCTCCCTATTTTCTTTCTCTACACATTTATATATCTTGTGAGTTAGATGTTGGTTGAATAAGTGTGTTGGTTTTGAGGTTAAGGCTGTAAGCACATTTTAACTAAGATTGAAGACAGTTCCGAAGTGGAAACTTCAGTCTATTTGGCATAGAAGAATGAGTTGCTTTTGCTTTTGCAACGTTATCATGCCCTCCCTGTAGATCGCATTAGTGTTGAGGCTCCATGGTAAAGAAAATTACATCAAGCTCTGTGGATTTATTCTAGATAGTATAATCACAAATGATGAAAGTGAAATCGTCTTCGGGCTCGGGAAACTTCCCCTTACTTTTAAAACGTCTGGCGTCCAGGGACAGTAGTTTGCGTTTACTTTGTTTACTTTTGTGCTAAAATTAAAGTTCCGAAGTAATTTAGGGTGGATTAGTCAGGAAAATCTCACTTCGTGATCTTTGTTACTAGTAATTTTCACTGAGGAATTTATTCTAGGCCTATTTTTTCTGCCTTAAACAGATCCCTTCTGCCTTGGATCTGATAGGATGTCCTTGTAACATATGCGCTTGTAACTGAAAGATCATTATTTTTGAATATCTCCCAATCACTCGGTGATAACCTAACACTAGTCCCTATCAGTCAAACGGCTTCGGAGCTATTGAAATATAATCTAGAATGTGCGCATATATCACTGGCCATAGCAAACTTAATGGGCACTCTCGTTCCTCTGCAGTATCTCGCCTGTGACTTATGTAAATACTGATGCACTGCGATCTCTCTGTCCCATTCAAGCCTGACAGCGGATGCTCATGGCATTTTCATCCTTGGTTAGCAGACGATGAGGTTCACATGTAAAGAGTTTATGTTTGGTCACGCATGACAACCTCATTGTGTCGTTCGACATAATAAACTCAACATTACTACTTCCTGCAGCAAAACAGGAAAACGGTGACTAGAGGTTAAAAAATTGAAAGTTTCATCGATCGGAGTTTGTCGAGTTGCATGGTCTTATCATGAGCTAGCTTGCGTACGTAAGATTCAGTCTCCATGGGGATACATGTGACCAGCACTGCAGTTATGCAAATTGAAAAAATACTCTTCTTTCATGATTATAGACGATTTTTGGGCAAAATCATGTTTGATTTGAATTCATTTAGTATTGTTTGTTTGAATTTTCCCATCGATGTGTTAGGAATGCAACTGGTCAGTCAATAATTGGCATATGTGCATACTGTGTGTATTGCCTTGTTATTGCCTTAATTCACAAGCATGGTTAGCAGAGATGGATAGTGGCTAGCAGTGGAATCCAGGATGCGCGTTTCGTCCTATTTGGGACTCGTCAGCTGGATGTACCTGCATCTGAGTTGATGTTCACTCTGGGACTCGAACCCAGTACCTTTCGCTTCAAACGCCATCGCGTTATCCACTCGGCCACTGAGTCCTGATAGCCACTTGGTTATGATTTTATTTCATGATTAGTGTAGCTACCGAGATAAGGTCGATTGAATTGTCTTTCAAATTTGGTCTGGTAGTACATAGGATTTGTACTCACTGCCAAGAATGCCAAAAAAAACCTTTAGGAAGTAACTCGGAGTATTTCGTAGCCCTTAGTGAGGTATCGAAAACACTGGGAAAGGCGCAGCTATGTAACGGATGAACTGTCTATTTCTAGTCTCAATCTCAAAGTTTACTGAATCTGAAGCTATTATTTTTGCTAATGATTACCTAATATTTTTCTTAATAAATGTAAGTGAATGATGCGCGTTAGCGAGGTTATCAACTCATCTTTCCTTTTGTACTCTTCTTATCCAGTCATCCTAACTCAGGCTTCACTGCAAGTCACCCCAGTACACAAAGTATTCTAGGGCAGACTGGAACCTTTGTAACTCTAATATCGGTCGACTATTATATGTTTATTGGCGTCAGCTACAAAAGTTTGCATCTATCTTGACCAAGAGTTTCATTTTTGAGACTACAACTAAGAGAATAATATGTTCATTTGCATCAGCATTGCTGATCAAACCTGAATTAAACCTTCATTACTAATCAGATTTAACAAACGAATTGTACAACACAGAAATAATGTGACCAGTCTTGAGAGATTTGAAAAATTTGACGTTACTAAAGGAGAATAACTTCGGAGAATGTAACCAAGGACATGACAAACGTTACGAAGTTTCTACTCGACTTCAAATGTTGCTTTTACATGACCTCGATATTGCATTCGGACTACATCAACTAAGTAGCGTAATAGAAAGTTCTCCAAATTAGAAATAAAGTTCACAGTAGTGGATTATTCTGTGAGACTATAATTTATGGAGTACCTTAGGTGGACTTGTAAAATTTCAGCCACTTACTACCGTGAAAATAGAAGTTAAGTTAAGGAATTTGAGTTGCAGTTTTCACCACGAACTAACACCGAGTATGAAATTACACTCGTCGATTTAGATTTCACCTTCTTGGATAATTAGGCTATTCTCTCTAGCAGTAAAGTATGACTCTTTTCCTCAGATAATTAAACAAAGTGCTGATGAAAAACGTGCAGTTGTCTACATCTTTTATTTGTTTTATAGCTTGAAAGTTATGTGTCTGGTAGGTCAGGTATGTTAGCTGCGTGGTTTGCTTTCGGTGTTGAAAGATGTTATCTCTGGCCATCTAATGGGCTTGTCTGAATGTATTTTGAAACGTATCACTTCTTGGATTCAAAGTTGTTGTTCTCCATATACATGGATAATGGATTTTCGGGGTTTTCCTTTATTTTTGCAATGAATTTCTCCAGACAAGCCTGGTTCCCACGAAACTGTAAACACGTTTTCCGACCGATTAAAAGAAACAAACTTCTGTGTTGTTTTTGTTAGCTTCTACGTATGTACAAAATTTTTAATTGATCTGCATAGTCTTCAGACATCACACCATTGGAGTTAATTTATAGCGGATTACGTAAATGTCTACTCAGCCCTTAACAATAAATACTGAATAACAGTTCAATGAAATTTCGGTTTATTTGTTCCTTGACCACGTAAAAAATAACATAATGGAAGGACTATATCAGGTAATAAATTTCGTGAATACAAGATGTAAGGAAGAAGCCATATACACATCTGTTTAGTGTTTGCTTGACATATGTTTAATTGATATGCGATGATGGAATTCTTGAAGACCTGAAATTATAGAATTTTTCTGTAAATAACAATTGTTGGAGTTATTCGGACACAGGATTAGAGCAATTGATAGGTGGTGATGAAAACATCCGATATCTCGGAATTCTTCTCACTCAATAAGCAACTCGAATAAACATGGGAATAACTGGACTACAACACTCAATGAATGAAAAAAATACATTTATAGCAAACTAGGGTATTAAAGTACAAAAAGTAGAACACTAACAGCATGTCTAAATTACAATTATATTAAGAGAAAAGAAAATGTGACAACAATTTATTAAATAATCGGAAGCTTTTGATTAACGTGATAAGACAGGCACGTAACTAAATGTTAGTAATTTACAGTTTACAAATTAAGCAAAACAATGTCCCAGAAAGTAGCTACCCTTGTTCAAAGTTTACTCATTCTTTTCCATCAAGGGCTTAACTTTTACATTTTCGAGGACTTTACTTTGATAGCTATCCCATATGTTAGCCGTAAATCCGTGACAATTTGATCGTAAAAGTTATCATGTTATTGAAAAGCCCCCTAATTAGTCAACAAAAGGATAAGTTAGAATAATTTTCAGCAGATATTTGAGTTGAAGTAAACACTTCAAAATAAAAAAATTGTCGACTTGTTTTTAAAGGAAGTGTATTGGCAATAAATTATGATTTTCTTTTCTTTTACAAGCTGATTGATGTATGATTATACAAATAGAAGGTAACTGTTTTGTAGATTTGCACTAACTTATCACTTTCATTCAGTGTTATATTATATCATTTTCAGTTTTCTTACTTTGATTTCAGAATAGACTAGAGTGAGTTAAAATCTTACTTACTTACGCCTGATACCCCTCGTCGAGGAGCATAGACCGCTAACCAGCATTCTCC